TGAATCGAAAGGAAACCCCTTCCATGTCATCCCTTTCCCGCCAGGGGCGGAGGAGGTCCCCCCAAAGGGGGGTCCCCGCTTCCCTGCCCCCCCGCCCCGTGCCCTCCCTGCCCCCATGCCCTTCTGATCCTGCTTCTTCTCATCCTCGTCCTGTTCCTCCACCTCATCCCTCTCCGTCTCCTCGTAGCAAACAGGGTCGGCGGCACCATCCGTAAGGCCTTCAATCTACACCCAAAACACCGGCCCTCCATCCTTGATCCTCGATCCTCCCCTCGATTCTCGACCCTCGATCCACGACGGACCCTGCATCCTCGTTCATCGTTCCTCGTTCCTCGATCCTCCATCCTCGTCCCCCGATCCTCGACCCTCGTTCCTCGACCCTCCTCCTCCATGCACCCTCGACCCTCATCCTTGCTCCCCGATCCCCGCCCCTCCATCCTCGACCCTCGTTCCTCGACACCCCCGATCCTCGACCCTCCACCCTCGACCCTCCGGCCCCCCGCCCTCGACCCTCCACCCTCGCACCCCGATCCTCGACCCGCGGCCCTCGCTCCTCGACCCCCTCTCCCGCTCCTCGACCACCCCCGCCCTCGGCCCCCTCGGCTGCGCGCAGGAGCGACCCCCTGGGCACTCGAGTGGCCCTCGGCCGTGCCCACCCCTCGCGCCCTCGGTGCCCTCCCCCGACGCGCCCGCCGCCGGCGGAGGGCCGCTGCGGGCGCGCGGCGCGGGGGCGCGGCGGCCCATCGGGCGGGCGGCGGCGGCCCCCCCCCCGCAGGCGTGGCGCCTGGGGGTCCACGAGCGTCCGGTCCAGGAGTCGGGCGGCGCACCTCGCCAGAGGGGGGCGGCGACGACCACGACGAGGAGGAGGAGGAGGAGGAGGAGGAGGAGGAGGAGGAGGAGGAGGAGGGAGGAGGAGGAGGAGGAGGAGGAGGGGGGAGGAGGAGGAGGAGGAGGAGGAGGAGGAGGAGTAGCACCGACCAAGGGGAGGGCAAGCGGACAAGACGCGAGCAAGGGACAAGAGGGCAAGCGGGCACGACGCGAAGGGGAGAGAAAGAACGAGTCCGACTGTGTCCATAGCATCATCCTCCCTCCGAAGGGGGTGGCGGTGGCACGGCGGTGGGGCGCGCGCCTCGGAGGAGCGTGGTCGCTGTCGCAGACCGTCGTGCAGTAGTGCGCAGACGCGCGGCCAACAGGCCGCGCGTTCGAGCGATCGAAGGGGGGAGAGGCGAGGCACGAAGGGTTTGAAAAGTGGCATGGATTGCATCGAGAGCGATGGCACAGGACAGGATGGCTTCCCGATCGGGAGGGAAAAGATGGGGCAGGAAGGAGGAGAGGGGCTCAGAACCATAATCAGCAGGCACAAGAGGAACATGATGCTTCAGATAATCAAGAGCCATAGGACAGCATACATAGTGTAGGATGTCATCTCCCCCCACTGAGTAGCACCCCATTCGACAATTGCCTGAACCACACCTGTACCTCCTAGTCGTATTCCACCCGTTAAATAAGGACTTGAGTAAAGACGTGCAGATATAAGTGGGAAGGTATTTATGGATAAAATTCAGCCTCATAACAATCAACTCGCACACATGCAAGGGGACGTTGCCACGACCATGCCATTTTTCCACCCGAGGGAGGATGATCTCGGAGCAGGGCGGGAGCTGGTTAATATCGAGTAACTGCTTGGTGATCCAGCCCTGCACAAGTTTGGGCCTCATCGGCGGGATCGTGCGGAGACTGTAAAAGGCGTGATACTCCCGAGACATCCGAACAATAATAGAATGCTTCGCCATATCTTTAAGCCTCCATAAGATACAGGTATGATCACCCCCATCCTCCGTCTGAATCCACCTATCATAATACAAAAGACAGAACTATGCGTGGCTGCTCGGAGAAGGCAGGCTCGTGCATATACCTCAAGGCGACGGGCACGAACATCATGCCCAAGTCCATTTAAACAGTGCAGTGACACCGGTGGGAAAGCATGGCGAGGACAGCAAGTGAGAAGCTGAAGAGAATCTTTTTCGATGTGACGAGCAGCAGGGACAGGAACATGGACTTGGGCACAGTGACCTATGACGGAGAGAGCATATGTGTTGTACCCCTGGATGCTGATGGACAGGCCCTGCTTCAAACTTTTCACCCGCAGCGAACGCTCTTTGAGACTGGCCAGGACGGGTCCCCAACTTCTCTCAGCACTGTCGATCCCCACCCCCACGCCTAGGTACCACCCATTGCGGCCAATGATGAAGCGACGAACCTTGACACCTGCACGTCTGCAGAGCTCAATCGCACGGGCGAAAGTATCACGATCAGGAAAAACCAGTTGACATTTCTCAAGGTTCAGAATCAGGCCCGTGCCCGCAGACTGCGTCACGAGGTGCCGCAGCAGCTCAGGGAGAATGGCCACAAGGTCTGAGCTCGTGACGCAGAGGTCATCGGCAAACGCGTTGAGAGACAGAGGTATCTTGAAAGCTAGTTGCTGCAGTCGACGGATGATGGGGTCAAAACATATACAAAATATCACACCACTTAATGGACACCCTTGCTTAACACCTCTTTCCACCATAATAAGATGCTTCTCCGAGCCCGAGAAGACCACGTACATAGTACAGTTACTATAGAGAGCAGAGATAGCACGGACGACATATTCTGGGATGCCAAGTGCCCTGAGCGCAGCGAAGATGAACGCGTGGTGGACCGAGGGGAACGCGGCCTTCAGATCGAACATTGCTGCGCCTGCTTGCCTACAATCATACATGGAACTCCATATAGTTAAATTGGCATCAACCTCAAGGATGTTGTCGAGCATCTGTCGGCCCTTGATGAAGCCCCTCTGGGACCCCTCCACCTTGTCCTCCGCCACCTTCCCTAAAGGTACAGCAATGGCCGAGCTGATGATTTTATTGTCGCAGTTGGAGAGAGACAGAGGGCGTGTGGCCGAAGGAACTCTTGTGACAACTCCAGCGTCGGGCACGTGCCCCTTGGGGAGGAACGCGGCACTGCAAGCGTTGAACTCGCTGGGCAGCGCGCCGCTATTCATGAGGGAGAGATAAACCTGGTACAGCACAGACCGCCCGATCTCACCAGATGCTCGCCAAGCTGCATATGGGACGCCGTCGGGCCCAGGGGTGGTGTCTTTTTTGGCAGCAATAATGGATGAAAACCATTCCTCGGGGAGAATCCACGGGTAGAAACATTTATCATTAGCAGCATATTGATCATCATCCTGAGTAATAGGGGTAAGGAGCGATGTCAGCTTGGCAATCTCATCCTCATCCGCTGGCTTAGCTTTGAAAATCTCCCCCCAGTATGAGCAGAGCAGACGAGCGCAGTCATCTGGATTCTGCTGGGTGTTGCCATCAGGATCGGTGATGGCCTTAAGGTAAACTTGCCTACCAGTCGCTCTCCAAGCCTGGGCAAGCCGACGGACACGGGCGATATTGGCAGCAGAGCGTGCGGAACCAGCAGGCCCCTCCACGGCATGTTCAGAGCGGAACTCGCGCTCGCGAGCTGCCAAGATGTTGCTCATTAGCCGGTTGAGCAGAAGGTCGAAGCCAGACCGATCAACCCACGCATCATCAGCAGAGATGAAATCTTTAAGCCCAGGAAAACCAGATATGCCACGAGAAATCTTCAGCGAATCCCCTCTGCGAACACCACGAAGGACCAGAAGCATGCACGCGACCTTCTCCTCATCCGTCTTGGCACCTCGATCGGAAATAAAGTGCCGGACCTGTTGGGCAGAGTACCTCATCGCTTCTTTGATCTCCTCCAGCTTACACTCCAGATCCTCCGAAAGGGCCTCAGGATCCAAGACCAGGTTCAGGATGTGCTCAAAGTGAGGGTGGCGGGCAATCCACGTGGGGATCCTTTGGGTGCCAGTAGGGGACCAGGGGGAAAACGCCAGGGAAACGGGGCAGTGGTCAGAAGGTGCTTTCAGGTCCTGTATAGGCCAGGACGTGCCAGCACGCGGGCAGTGATCCAAGATGTCCTGAGTGCTCATGTTCGTGTAGATCCGATCCAATCTGGCAAAGGAAAGTCGCCCCATGCGTTCAACGCGATGGGTGTCGTGCTCCTGCACGACTTCAGCAAGACCAGGCAGAGCAGAGGTAAAGGAACTAGCCAGACGATTGGTAGTGGGTCCTTCAGCACCAGTGTCTAAGTACATACGAGATTCTCCATAAGCCATGAAATTCATGTCGCCGAAAACGAAGCCGAGCGAGACGGAGGAGGGCAGGAGACAGTGCCGAACACTCTCAAACATGTCACGAGTTTCATGCTCACTCCAGTCGGGGACAATATGCATATTGACCAGTTGAAGCGAGTAGAGAGGACCAGAGAGGGAGATGCACAGGATGCGGCCTTTGCAAATTACTCTACGCTCTACGCGGGTGAACTGGGATAGCAGTGATCTGTGGATAAAGATGAGAGTACCTCCAGCAGACGGGGTTGAGCAGAACGTGCCATAGACCTGGTGCGACTTAAAATCACGACGAACTTGTTCCAAATCACCTGAAGTACCGTGAGTCTCTTGGAGCCCAACAACCAAGTGCTGATTCAGGAGGGCCCGAAGACGCGAATATTTATCCTGGAGCGAGCGCTGATTCGTGAAGACCGAACCGAAGATCGTTTGGGTATTCCAACTGGCGATGCTCAATTTCTCCCTGATGCTGAATGGCCGAGTGAGGGGAGGAGGGGGAGCTGGAAAAAAATCACTGCTATCAGAGCTGCTCGAGCTATAGACAGAGCTAGAGCAGCTCTCATCGCTCTCGATGCTAGAAGAAGTAACTGAAACAGCAAAAGAAGCGGCAGCAGACGAAGGCAGGCAAGGCTCAGGTGGCGACCCCTCCGCAACCTGATGAAGCCGACCTTCAGCACGATGTGGACCCCATTCCACACACCGGTGATGCCCTTGTTGTCTACGTCAGAGTCCCTCACGAACGGCTTCGATGATCGCCGACGCCTTCTCTGCGCCGATGCCCCACTCCGCGAGCTCCTCATGATTGGGAATGAACTCGACGCTGTTCCTCGACTTGTCACGGGCGGCGACGATCTCCCACACGTCGTCCTCAGTACGAATTAGCAATACCCCCTTGAAGCCGTTCACTCCAAGGCGACAGCTCTGGTCCCACCTGGGACTCTTCCTCAGCTCGTTCAGGAAAGGCTCGAAGATACCATTGAATGCCCTCTGCCGCATACGCACATCTACTGGAAGATCAGCACGGCAGCGAATGGACGAGGTCTTCTGAGTTCTTGAATCCACATAGTCATGACCGCCATCCTCGTTGTAACGCTGCTGGAAGGTCTTGGCGGCCACACTGGTCGGGAACGTCAACTTGTAGCTCTGTGAGATGCCATGGAAGAGTGGAACCACACCTTGCAGGAGGTGATTGTACTTCGTGAGCACCGTCTCATTGTAGTGCTTCTCACGGGCCTTCTTCAGCATCGGTCTCGGGAATGTGCCCAAGAAGCGAACGCAGGCGTCCGTGGGGGCTTGGTGTGATCGGCCGCCACCGCCGCCACTACCTCCACGACCACCACCACCAGAGACGCTGTCCTCGTCAACGGTGTCGGCCGCAGAGGCCGATGAGCCAGCACGGGAGCCGGCCTTGAGCGCATTCAACTGGTCCTGCACGGCCCCAAGCTTCTCGTCGACGGCGACGGCCACAGCCTGGGCGATCGAGTCCTGCGCACCCTCCTCGACTGCGACGAGGCGCTGATGCACTTGACGTAGATTCTGGTCATGTAGTTGGAGAGCAGATCGAAATTCATGAATCTCTTGAGACATCGTCTGCTCGATGCGCTGGATATTGGTGTTCATGCCTCGCACCTCATTCATCATGTCCTGCATCCAGGAAGGTGGACGCGTCTCCTCGCCTGTGCTCCTGCTGCGGCTGTCCCGATGCGAAGGTGACGAGCAGCTCCGATCGCGCCGATCTCGACGCGGCTTCGATGCAGAGGATGACCTTCGCGGTGGCGAGAGACTGTACTCCGTGTCGCTGCGCGTCCTCTCTGTACGAGCCCTGCGGCGGCCCATGGCGGCGAAACAGAGGGAGCAGCGAAAGAATACCGTAAGCAGACTGCAGGCAAAATGCGTGTAGCAGTAAGTGTCGAAAAAGTATGCGGAGACCCTTGTCCAGGGGGCCTCTCCAGGGTCTCGCACGCGCGCGGCGGGCAAGGCCACTTGAGCCAAAATGGCTACGGAGGAGGAGGAGGAGGAGGAGGAGGAGGAGGAGGAGGAGGAGGAGGAGGGGGAGGAGGAGGGGGACGACGACGAGGAGAAGGACGACGACGACGACGACGACGACGACGACGACGACGACGACGACGACGACGACGAGGGGGGGAGGGGAGGTGAGGGAGGGTGATCTTCACAATCGTTTTTTTGGTTTTTGCGTGCTTTGACCTTGATGCTCGTGCATACGAGTGTCCTGGCGAATGGTTGGCATGACTGTGCAAGCCGATGCTGTTTGAAGACGCAGCAGCCGCATGCATGGCACGCCCTTGCGGCGCTCGTGCTCAGGTGGGCGCTCCCAGTAGTGCAACTTGTGGGGGCATGCGAAGAGGCGACTGAAGGAAAGGTGTGCTGCGTTGCAACACCGTCTATGTAGCTACGGCTTACTCTGTTCCTCCTACTCCTCCTCCGCTTCCTCGGCCTCAGCCTCTTCCTCTGCTGCCCGCCCTCCCCGCACGCTCCCGCACCTGAGCTCCTCCTCGCAGCGCTGCTCCTCGGCGTAGCACTCCCGCAAGACACGCTCGATGAGGCGCATCTGGAAGACCTCCGACAAGGGTTTGCCCCCCCGACACCAACCCGCCCCATGTCTTTCCGCAACAACAACATCACAAACAAATCCCTGGAACAACCTCTTAACTCGCAAGGCACTGAACATCCGCAACTACACTCTGCTTTCACTGGAAATGTCGATGCATCTGATTCCCCCAAGGTGGCAAAAACGACCAGAAAGCAAGAGGATCTGGGAAGACACGATACCAACGTCGCTGGGATTTTCCAGTTACGTGCCCACTTCTATTGCTCTATTCTGACCACCAGCTCGATCCGACGGGTGTTTTTTCTTCAGCGTTGGCAGGGGCCAGTATATCGTGCAGCGGTCGACGCTGAAACTGGCGAGCGCAGCAGGAGACAATGCACACCTCGAGCGTCTCCTGCCTTGCGCTCCAGCTGGAGGAACGGAAAGGCACCCTGCGACCATGCAAGCATTAGCACGGACTATTCAATGACGTTTTTCCCCATATCCAAAGGATGGGGTTCTTGTTATTACTTTGGCCGCGCGGAGGGAACACCTCCCACTCTCAGGACAGCATTCTCTGACTCACTCACATGTAGACTCACTCATATTCAGACTCACTCATACTCAAATGCACTTGCTCTTAGATTCCTGATGCTAAGGTTTCTCATGCTCGGGATCATTCATATGCAAACTCACTCACACTCCTGGTACTTCTACTTCCGCGCTCAGGCTCACACACACGTTGTGGGGATGTCTCAGGCGAGGCGCTGCTTTAAGTACTCCCAGGGGGGTCGGGGGGGCGCCAGGGTATCGCGGTCCCGTTCGCGCCCAGATTGGGGGGATGTCTCAGGCGGTTTGCCTGTTTGGGTGCCCAACGTCCTTCTCTGCCGGAGCAGTTTCCGAGGATGTCTCAGGCGAGGCGCTGGTTTCAGTACACCCAAGGGGGGGGCGCCAGGGGGTATATCACAGGCCCGTTCGCGCCCAGATTGGGGGGGATGTCTCAGGCGGTTTGCCTGCTTGGGTGCCCAACATCCTTCTCTGTCGGAGCAGTTTCCGAGGATGTCTCAGGCGAGGCGCTGGTTTCAACACTCCCAAGGGCGGACGCCAAGGGATATTGCACGGGCCCGTTCGTGCCCAGTTTGGGGGGATGTCTTAAGCGATTTACCTGTTTGGGTGCCCAACAGCCTTCTCTGTCGGAGCAGTTTCCGAGGATGTCTCAGGCGAGGCGCTGGTTTCAGTACTCCCACAGGGGGGGCGCCAAAGGGTATATTACAGGCCTGTTCGTGCCCAGTTTGGGGGGATGTCTCAGGCGGTGTGCCTGTTGTGGGTGTTCAACATCCTTCTGTTTCGGAGAACTTTCCGAGGATGTCTCAGGCGAGGCGCTGGTTTCTGTACACCCAAGGGGGGGCGCCAGGGGGTATATCACAGGCCCCTTCGCGCCCAGATTGGGGGGATGTCTCCGGCGCTTCGGTTGCCCAACATCCTTCTCTGTCGGAGCAGTTTCCGAGGATGTCTCAGGCGAGGTGCGGGTTTCATTACTCCCACGGGGGGGCGCCGGGGGGTATATCACAGGCCCGTTCGCGCCCAGATTGGGGGGGATGTCTCAGGCGGTTTGCCTGCTTGGGTGCCCAACATCCTTCTCTGTCGGAGCAGTTTCCGAGGATGTCTCAGGCGAGGCGCTGGTTTCAACACTCCCAAGGGCGGACGCCAAGGGATATTGCACGGGCCCGTTCGCGCCCAGATTGGGGGCATGTGTCCGGCGGTTTGCCTCTTTGGGTGCCCAACATCCTGCTCCTTCGGAGCAGTTTCCGAGGATGTCTCAGGCGAGGCGCTGGTTTTAGCAAGCCCAAAGACGGGCGCCAAAGGGTATTGCACGGGCCCGTTCTCGTCTTCACGGATGGATTTTCCTGACCGGTGTGCATAAGGAAAGGAGGGGAAAGAGGAGGAGACCAAGGAGGAGGAGGAGGAGGAGGAGGCGGACAGAAGGAGGAAGCAATTATTTAAAGCCGTCGTGGTCGTCGGCGTCTTTCTCGGCCTCGTTTTCCACGTGTACTCGCTGGCGCTCGGATATTGAAAAAGGCCAATGTCTTCGTCTGAAATTTGCCACCACAATGTGATGCACATCTGGGGATCTCCGCGCCGAGTAATTGTTGCCAGCTTTGGGCAAGGGCTGCAGTTCGCCCGCTCGCGCGCGACCCCGCCGCCGACGAATTGGCGAGCGCAAAATGTGCGCCGCGCCTAACCGGGAACTCTGTTCTCAGGAAGATCCCACCAACCCTTTGGGGCGTAGGTGTTCTAGAGCGTCTCTTCTCCACCCCTCCTCTTCCCCTTCGGGGAGGGGTTTATCACTGTTCCCTATTAGTATACACCCCCTCCCCCAGGCGACTGGGAGCCAACCCGAGACCATGCGGGTCCCCCCACCATCTCTACTAAAAACAATGCAAAACACAATCTGCTTCCAAACTCGGAGCATGCGCAGCGAACCCGATGCGGCCTCCCCCCACCATCCCTGTCAGAAAACGATACAGAGTACACGTGGCGGCGGCGGCGGCGGCTGCGGCGGCTGCGGCGGCTGCAGCGGCTGCGGCGGCTGCGGCGGTGGCGGCGGCGGCGGCGGCGGTTGCGGCGGCAGCGGTGGCGGCAGCGGCTGCGGCGGCAGCGGCTGCGGCTGCGGCGATTTGGCAGCGGTGGCGGCGGTGGCGGCGGCGGGCGGCGGCGGCGGCGGCGCGGCGGCGGCGACGGCGGCGGCTGCAGCGGCAGCGGCTGCGGCGGCGGCGATTTGGCAGCGGCTGCGGGGGCGGCGGCGGCGGATTGGCCCCCAGTAGCTGCTCATCCAAAGACGACTGCTGAATATGCTGAGGATCGGGCCAGACTCGGGTGCTACGTATGTGTTGGGAGGGCGGGTGGGAGTGAGCGAGACGGCTTGTGGGCGGGGAGGGAGTCTTGACCCCTCCCCATACCCCCTCCCCTGGAATTGGACGGGGGTCCCGCGAGGGGTTGGAGCGTCCAAGATGGCCCAAAATGTCTCCAAGAGCGCCTCGGAGAGCCCAAGATGAGCCCCAAGATAGCTCAAGATATCCCAAGATGCGTCAATATGGTTCCCAAGATGCTCCAATAAGCCCCAAGACCGCTCCAAGACGGCTCCAAGTGGCACCAAGGAGGCCCCGAAGAGGCCAAATTCCTTCACACCAATACGTGTTGCTTTCTCGTCTTTTCGTTTCCGATAGCCTTCCCAGGCCTCAAGATGGTTCCAAGAGGGCCCAAGAGGGCCCCAAGAGGGGCCCAAGAGAGCCCAAGACGGGCCCAAAAGCGTCCAAGATCGCTCCAAGAGCGCCCCAAGAGGGGCCTACGAGGCGACTTTCGATGCTCCCAAGGGGGGGCCCTACTTGAACACCCCCTCTGCTTTGATCGATGTCCTCCAAGATGGCCTCACGAGTGCCCCTAAAGCTCCCAAGAGCGTCCCTAGAAGGCCCCAAGAGCCAGGAATGCCCGAGGGAGTCAAAATCTTCATTTGTGCGCTAGGTTTTTCAAGGATTTTTGTTTTTCCTCGGCTTTGGTGTTCCGACCGCCTAAGACGGCCCAAGGAGTCCCCAAACTAGTCCCAGAGGCCTCCCAGATGGCTTCAGAACGGCCCAAGAGGCTTTCAAGCCAGCCCCAAGAGGGCCCCAAGACGGCCCAAGAGACTTCAAAAACGGCCAAGGTGGTCTCCAAGATCCCTCAAGACTGCCAAGATGACCTCCAAGACGACCAAGATGGCAGCCCAAGAGGCGCTCAAGATGCCTCCAAGACAGCCCACGATGTCTCCAAGACGTCCTCCAGGAAGGCCCGAAGAAGCCCAAATCAATGATTTTCCCGAGGTGTTTGAAAGATGTTCTCTTTTGCCTCTTTTCAGCCTTCCGACGATCCAAGACGGCCCAAGAGGACCCAAGATCGCCCAAGATGCCCGAAGATGTCCCCATGACGGCCAAGACGCCCCCAAGACGGCTCCAAGAATGCCCCAATCCGCCGCCCCCTGTTGATTCATCGCAGGGGTGCCTGGAGTGCTGAACTCTTTCGGTCTTGGTTTTGGTTTTTTCCAAACAAGAACTCTCCCTGGCGCTTCGGCCCAGCCCGCCAAGGTCCCGGAAAGGACCGGAAACTGCACATGTCAATGCCTGTTCCGCTCCAAGATGGCCCAAGATAGCCTCCAAGACGGCTCAGATGGCCCGAAATGGCCCTCAAGTTCGCCTAAGATGGTCGAAGATTGCTTCCAAGACGGCCCGAGAGAGCCCAATATACCTTCAAGTACGCCCAAGAAGCCTCCACGACGGCCCAAGAGGCCTCCAAGAGGTCCTCCAGGAGTGACGGCCCAAGAGGCTCCTAAGACGGCGTCAACAGGGCCACAAGAGGCTTCCAAGGCGGCCAAGATGGCCTCCAAGACGGCTCAGATGGCCCCAAGATGCCTGCAAGACGGCCCCAAGACGCACCAAAAACGGCCCAAGATGGCCTCAAGATGGCCCAAGACGGCCCAAGAGGCGCCCAAGAGGCCTCCAAGACGGCCCAGGAGGCCTCCAAGGACCCGAAGATATCAAAATCATTGATTTCCTTCGGTTTTAAACAGATTTTGGCATTTGCTCTTTTTCGGCATTCCGACGGCTCAAGACGGCTCAAGAGGCCCCCAAGATCGCCCCAAGATCGCCCACGCGGCCTCCAACATGGCCCCATGACGGCCCCAGAGGCCTCCAAGACGGCTCCAAGAGGGCCCCAAGAGGCCTCCGAGACGGTCAAGATGGCCTCCAAGACGGCTCAGATGGCCCCAAGATGCGTCCAAGACGGCCCAAGATGCACCCAAGACGGCCTAAGGTGGCCTCAAGATGGTCCAAGACGGCCCAAGAGGCGCCCAAGAGGCCTCCAAGACGGCCCAAGAGGCCTCCAAGACGTCCTCTAGGAGGACCCGGAGAGATTCAAGTCATTGATTTCCGTAGGTTTTTGGCGGTTTTGGCATTTGCTCTTTTTCGGCATTCCGACGGCTCAAGACGGCCCAAGAGGCCCCCAAGATCGCCCACGAGTCCTCCAACATGGCCCCATGACGGCCCAAGACGCCCCCAAGACGGCCCTCAGAGGGCGCCAACAAGCCTCCAAGACGGCCGAGATGGCCTCCAAGACGGCCCCAGATGCACCCAAGATGGCCGAAGATGGCCTCGCAGGGCCCAAGATGGCCCAAGAGGCCTCCAAGAGGCCTCCAAGAGGGCTCAAGAGTCCTCCAAAAGGTGCTCCAGGAGGGCCGTCCAGACGCCCAAATCATGGATTTTCCTTCGGTGTTTGAAAGATTTTGGCGCTTGCGCTTTGTCGGCCTTCCAACGGTCGAAGACGGCCCAAGAGGCCCCCAAGGTCGCCCCAAGATCGCCCAAGAGTCCTCCAAGATGGCCGCATGACGGCCCAAGAGGCCCCCAAGACGGCGACCTCCAAGACGTCCAAGATACTCTCCAAGACGGCCCAGAAGCGCCCCAAGAGAGCCCCAAGTCGGTTCAGAGAGGCCCCCAAGACTACTTCCGACGGTGTCAGGCAGGTCGGGAACGCCATAAGACGGCCAAAGACGCCTCCAAGAAGCCCCCAAAGGCCCCCAAGAAACCCCTAAGAGGCCCAGGGAGGCTCCCAAGAGGCCTCCAAAAGGCACCCCGGAAGCTCCGCAGAGGCCTCCCAAGAGGCCTCGCAAAACGGTTCCCTACTCCTCCTCCTTCCCCATCATCCTCATCCTCGCCCTCACCCTCATCCTCATCCTCATCCTCATCCTCATCCTAATCATCATCCTCCTTCCTCTCCTGATCCTCCTCCTATTGCTCCCCCCACGCGTTCCCCGAAGGCTTTCCAAACCGATTCGGGGGTCATCTGGCCCGCTTGGCCAAGCTATAGCCCAGCTGTCGGCCATATAGGCGCTTCCACAAGGGCAGGGGGCGGCGGTGATTCGCCGTAGGCGTCTTCGATATGTATAAGAAGTATATGTATCCTTTTCCTCCTGTCGCTCACCGTTCACTTCACCCCTCCTCCACTCTCCCTCCCCCTCCCCCTCCCCCTCCTGCTCCTCCTGTTCCTGCTCCTCCTCCTCCTCCTCGTCTCCTCCTTCCCCCATCCCTTGCCCTCTCTCCTTCCGCCCCGCCCGCTAGCCACAGGGCCTTGCCGTCGATGACCTCGCCCTCGTCCTCGGCGCGGGCCCGGCCCGCCGGGGGAGAGGGGCGGGCCTTTTTTTTCTCTGGGTGCCTCGCCTGTTTTTGTAAGTTTCCAGAAAAAAAGCTTCTGGAGGCGGACGGGGGTTTTGGGGGAAAACGGGAAGGTGGATGGGGGGGGGAAATGTAAGGGGGATGGCGAGGACGAGGGGGATAAACACTAGTACGAAGATGGAAGGAGGAGGAGGAGGAGGGGGAGGAGGAGGAGAAGGAGGAGGAGGAGGAGGAGAAGGAGGAGGAGGAGGAGGGGGAGGAGGAGGAGGAGGAGGAGGAGGAGGGGGAGGAGGAGGAACATGAGGATGATGGGGGAGGCTGATGAGGAGGAGGCACAGTAGGAGGAGCAGAAGGAACAAGAGGAGGAGCTGCAGCAGTCTGACACAAAAGGTCTCGATACCACTGTGTGGCGCCAGTAAATCAAACTTAGCAGCAGCAGGAGGAGGACAATACTCGAGGAGAAACGATGAGGGGGAGGAGGATCGCAGCGCCTCTCGAGCGTCTCCCGCCAGCCGCGCTGGCGCGCGCCCGACGGACTACGCCGAGGCGCCCTCGCGCCACGATGGCGGAGAGGGCAATGTTGAAGAAAGTGTGGAGGAAGACCCACTCGCAGGGAAAAGGGTCAGGGGCGCGTCGACGAGGAGCGCCAGCATGAAGTAGGATAGCAACACGGAACCGCAGGCGAAGCCAGTGACGGGGATGGCGTAGAAGCCCGCCCTCCTTCGTGTGACCCACAACCCCGAAGCATCGCTCAACAAAATGAGGGAACGCCGAGGGATAGCAAGCACCTCGTACCGGAGAAAGATACTGCCACTCGCTCCGTGGGTGGAAGGTCACCCTGCAAACGGGTGCGGGGGGTCCCAGTCGACAAGAGCACCATATTCCTCTGTGTGGCCGAAGCCTCCCACCATGAAGCCGACGCTGTGCACTGTGCCGCACAGGCCCAAGGGTATGGTGGAGAGGCGAGGGCGGCCACGCAACTTGCCAGGACCAGATGTCACCAAACGGTCACTGATTTTGACCCTCAGGCCAGTGTGTAAAATCCTGGTAGCGGCAGTTGCACCGTGAGCCTCACCATGGGTTCGGCTCACGGTCCTCGCCCCGCTAGCGTCGCCATAGGCTCGGCTAGCTGGGTGCGGTTTGTCATCTTGCCTTTGACTGCCAGCACTGGCATCGCCTCGACCAGTGAGACTGCACGAACTGTCGTGGACCTTGTCGGCCTCCACACGATGAGCAGCCGAGTTCGCGTCAGCCGTCACCGCGAACGGATTCCAGGTGCTTCCAGCAGCGGTGCCGCCCGACCCCTGCCCCGTGACCCGAGCGCTCACGGGAGCACAGGCAGGCGGCCGTGCGGCAGGCCTGATCGGCATGGCCGCCGACTCGGGCGTGGCCCTCGGAGTGAACACGCCCTTGAGGTCGATCGGTATGGCATCCGAAGCGGGTTCTACCTTGGCGGTTGCATCATGGACGCGCGCCCGACCTTCGACTCGTACCTCGTCTCTGGGATATCTGCGGCGGTTGCGCCATGGGCGCACGCTCCTTCGGTCAAGCTCGCGTCAACACGCAGTGGTGGGGGGCCCGCAGAGAAGGACGCATTCATGTTTGAACCATCGCAGGGGACCTCGTGAGAAGATACAGCATTATCACACTTGGTCCCAGCAGCACGACTAGAGGCCACTGGGGAGGAGGGCGGCGCCGTGTGACTGGATTCAGAGACGGGGATCAGACGCTCATGGAGCGTGGGTCGTTCGAGACTCCCTACCTCTTCAGGCTCAGGCGCCCCTTTCTCTCGCCGTCGGCGCCGAAAAGTACGCGCGGAAGCTCGAAGGGCAGTGGCATGAGCGGCAGCTCGTTGATGATAGGCACCTAGACGTGGTGAGCGGGGACCGTTGACACAAAAGTGCAGTCCATCACGAACGGCGCGCTCAGCACATGAAGGCCAGCCAGGCGCATGCAGAGCATAAGAGACGCCCGACGGTCTTACTTGGGAACCTTGGGCAGCATCTGGAAGAAAGACGTCGCCGCCCCTGTCCTTCACAGGACACTTACCATCATGATCCTTTTCAGCCACCGTGGCACGGAGGGACGCACCGTGTGTGAACGCCTTTGGGCCCGTCTCGGTGGGTGCATCATGGACGTGCGCACCTGTTCTCGCTCCCCGATCACGGACACGACGCTCATGGATCGTCGGTCCGTGTTGTCCTTCATACTCTTCTTTCACTGTAGGAGAAGAGGGGGTGGCTTGAGCGGAAGCTCGTAGATCATGGAGATCCGCTTCTGGTGGAGGATGATGAAGTGGTAGGCCCGCCCCAGCACCACGCAAATTCGACCCACCTGGAACACGCGCACCCTCAAGAAAGACACGTGCTCCTTGCTGACCCGCTTCTGGTGAAGGACCCGCAACTGGTGGAGGATCCGCTCCTGGTGGAGCTCGTGGAAGACCAGCGGGACGCGGAGGAAGCACGACTGGTGGAAGTGCCGCGACTGGTGGTTGAAGATGGTCTGCGTGCACTTGACGCCCCCCAGCGTCTTGCTCATGCGGTCCACCTCGATCAGCATGCACGCCAACCTGAAGACCCGCATCTCGTGGAACTGCATCCTCGCGCGGAGAATGAACATCTCGTGGAGGATGCGCGTCTCGCGGGAGTGCAGTGCCACCATCGCGCCCACGACAACGCGCACCATCAGCGCCTTCGCGCAGGGCGACCTGGAGGGCGCGGCCCAGGCGAGAGGGCGCCTGACCACGATGTTCCAAGATCGCATCAGCGGCAGTGAGCAGGTGCTGCACCGCCCGCCCCTGCGCGCGCCAGGCCTGGGCGCGGCGCTTGGCGGCGGTGCGATTGGAGCGGCGGCGTCCCGCCCGCCCATCCCGCGACGGCCCCTCCATCGCGCGGCGAGGCGAGGAAGGGCGAAGGGGAAAGAAAGGGCAGAGGGGGGGGCAGGGCGGGGCGAGGGCCCCCCTGGCGCTGGCGCGGCGCGGCCCCTGAGGGCCTCGGACCGAACTGGCGCTTGAGGGGGAGGAGGAGGGGGAGGACGAGGAGGAGGAGGAGGAGGAGGAGGAGGAGGAAGAGGAGGAGGAGGAGGAGGAGGAGGAGGAGGAGGAGGAAGCAGGACGAGAAGGATGGGGATGAGGAGCGCGTCTCGTTTGGATGATGATCGGGAGAAGGAGCAGGAGCAGGAGGAAACCGAAGCAGGGCGAGGACGAACACGCGGAGGGGAGACAAGAGGAGGTAGGACGTTCAACAAAGAAGAGGAGGATACGGAGAAGGACGATGTCTCCGGTGGTCTTCGGAGGCTCTCCGGAGGTTCCGGAACACATCCAGATGTTCCTGGAGACCATTCGAGGCACAGAGAGGGCAAACAATATCCGAAGACCTGGATCCTCGATCTTCGAACCTTGAGGATCTTAGACGAGAGTTGAGGAGGAGAAGGAGGAGGATGGCGGCTGTGGTATGAACCAAACGCCGACTTCGAAAAACAGGTCAAGCGCCGAATCTACAAAAGTCTCAAAAGACCCGCTCAATCTCCTGCCCTTTCCATCCGTTCCTGTCCTGTGTCAACTCCAAGCAGTGCGCGTTCTCCCGAAATTGCAATGACGAGCGAACGAGCCCGAGGAGGACGAGGAGGTCTGGCAGAAGTCCAGACGAGAAGAAGGTGCAGAAGAGGACGAGGAAGAGGAGGACAAGGAGGAGGAGAAGGAGAAGCAGGAGAAGGAGGAGGAGGAATACGTAAGGAGCACGATCCTCGATCTTCGAACCTCGATGTCTCCGGTCCCCGCACGTCTCCAGAGGTCCCAGGAGATCTCTGAAGGTCTCAGACCTGGAAGCTCAGAACAAGAAACACCCCCAAGACATCGACCCTCGAACCTCGACGAGGGCGAGGGGGATGCCGAGGACCTCAGGCTGGCGGCCGAACTCCTCGTCCTCGGCCGCGCCGCGCGCCGGCTCCGCCGCGAGCCGCTGCGAGAGGCCCGCAGCTTCCGGCGGCAGGCGGCAGCGTACTTGGTCCAGTCCGCCGCCCGCCGCCGCCAGGGGCAGGAGAGGGCCAGCTCCTCCTCGGACTCCTCCTCCTCCTCCTCCTCCTCCTCTCTCCTCCTCCCCTCCCTCCTCCCCCCCTCCTCCCCCCCCCTCGCTCCTCCCCCTCCCCTCCCTCCTCTCCTCCTCCCCTCCTCCCCCTCCTCCTCCTCCTCCTCCTCTCTCCTCCTCCTCCTCTCCTCCTCCCCTCCTCCTCCTCCTCCTCCGCCTCCTCCGCCTCCTCCGCCTCCTCCGCCTCCTCCTCCTCCTCCTCCTCCTCCTCCTCCTCCTCCCTCTTCCCGTGCATTCATGTACTCATGAAGCACTGTGTCGTGCAAGCCCAGCACGCGGCAACATGGCAAAACATAGGCCAGTCTCAACGCCCGCAGGTTACGTCCTGCGGCGGGGAAGTCGGTGGGGGGGCTGCTCCGAGCATCAGACCCGGGATGGAAAGCTCGGTCGAGCTTCCTGCTCTCAGACCTGGCCTTCCAACTGCAGGCGGAAAACAGCTTGTGACGGCTGCTGGTCTTGGTGGCAGAGCCTCCACGTTTAGAGCAAACCAACACTGGAAGCCCACTATTCTCCATCCGTGCAATTAAGAGGACGTGCTGGAGGCGGGTCCTGACAAAATTGACTCAACGGCGTGGTTCAACCCAGAGCACTCAGTGGCGTGTAGGGCCGCAAACTCTTGAAGCACACATTACTGTATACACCTCCGCTGCCACAGTGCAGAACAGGAGCGTGTGGGTTCTGGGCTCTGAGGGGTGGTGTACGAGGGCCCGCGCAAAAACGACCAACGTCCTCCAAGTCCCCAAACGAGGGCCAATGCCCAAGAACTTGCCCAACGCTATGACAAAGAATGGTGTACAGCTTGAGTTGCCCTGAGTGCTTCTGCTTCAGAGCTGCTGACACTGAGACTGTTGGCCGCCTGGTCAGCGTGATCGTCTGCATGCTCATATCCCCCTTACACAGGACCTCAAGTTCTTGCGGCGGCAGCTGGTCCTCTTCTTGGCGGGGGGAATCAATGCACATGTCTCTACTCTGGCGTTGGCCTTCGCTGCAAATAACAGCTGAGACTATATCAGAACTCTCGGCTGTACCGCTCGACTGCGGCATGTTGCCTGGGAGTGGGGCCCTGAGGTCCCTGACGAGGTCCCCTCTTCCGCCAAGTTGTACCACGCTAAATCCCGCTCGGGTTAGGTGGCTGGTTTGTGGGAATAGGCATGACCCGTCGGAGGCGAGAGACGCGCCCGCAGGGAACCTGAACTCGTCACAAGGGGCTCCATCAAGGCCAACAAACGCGACCTGCCAATCAAAGGCAGGCGGCTCGCAACTCGTATCCACACGGGTAAGCCACGCTCTGCCGAAGAGCATTCGTGGGTCCATCAGTTAGGGCCTGGCCAATCATGCCCTCAGGGAAAACCCTCTCTCTGGCGGCGGAGGACTTGGGACACGCGCGCTTCCAGACACGGTGCCAAGCCGTGTCGAGCTTGCCACAACAGTTGCACACGCCGGCATTAAACCTCCCCTTCTTGAGGGTAGCCCCAGTGGGGAAGGACCCACATGATGATTGCTTGAACATCACCTTGTGGACGTAGTTCTACTCACCATTGGAGGACGCGAGCAGCTTGCGCGCTACCTCCCGCCACAGACTCCTCGACTGAAGGTCCATAGTGCCAAACACAGGGTTATTACAAAACGGCAACACTGGCTTCCTGAAAACAAGTCTTTAAACAATGAAGGAAACACTGGGCAACTGCACAAATAAACCTTTCGCGAAAATCAGCGGAGAACCTTGACAATCCAGCAAAACACCAACACGAACACACTCAGTTCACTTCGCCGCCGTGATCGGGGCTAGGAAGAGCTCGCTGAAGGGACCCACACACGACCCACCATCACCGCACCCCGCCACCACCACCCGAAGCACGAGATGGCTCGCTGGTTTTCCCAAATCATCCTGTGGTGTTGGGTCCTTGGTTTGAAGAGACAGCGCCCCACGTTCTCCCTCCTCCCTCCTCCTTTCTCCTTCCTCCTCCCCCTTCTCCCTCCTCCTCCTCCTCATCCTCCTCCTCTCCTCCACTGTCTCCTCTCCCTCCTCCCGTCGTCGTCCTCCTCCTCCTTCACCATCATCATCCTCCTCCTCCTCATCATCACCAGCATCATCATCACCGACATCATTATCACCACCACCACCATCATCATCACCACCACGACCACCACCACCACCACCATCGTCATCATCATCACCATCACCATCAACCTCATCATCCATATTACCATCGTCATCATCACCATACTCATCATCATCGGCGACATCAACACCATCATCATCATCATCATCATCACCATCATCATCATCACCTTCATCATTCTCATCATCATCATTATCACCATCACCACCATCAGCATACTCGTAATCATCATCAACATCAACATCATCACCATCATCACCGCCACCACCACCACCATCGTCACCATCACCAACAACACCATCACCCCATCATGCCGTAAGCTTCATCCATGCGTCCCACCATGCATGTCAGCACACCCTCGCACGTTTCGAGGCCCCGTAGAGAGCTACACCGCATGTCCCAGTGGCGGAACTCGCATGCGGTTCTCCCGCCCACCACAGCTTCTCGTGGCCCCATAGGGGGTTCCACCGAAGGTCCCAATGGTGGAACTCGCATGCGGTTCCCCCATCACCGTCAACGGGTACCGCATTTGCACCAGGTGCCATTGCTACGCTCGTGTGGTCGGTGGCAAGCACCGTGGGTTGTCAGCTGCGGTGTGCGAGCTCCCCAACAGCGCTCGATGCATGCAGCATCGCCTCGAGAAGGTCCAAAGGATCAGAATCGGGCTGCCGCCGAAAGAGGCGCAGCCGAGGGCGCAGGCTCACTGACGGGGGGATGGCGGCGTGGCGGTGGGTTGGCCCTTTTGGCCCGCTCGCTTCTTTGCCACGCTGCTCCCCGATCCCAGGCTTTCGCCTGCCGCTTGTGCCCCGCGGCCGCCAATAGGCGAGCTTGGCACACAGCTAAAAAAAGGTCCCAGTGGCGGAACTTGCATGCGGTTCCCCCACCCAGTACAATGCTTCGTGGTCGCATAAGGGGGCCTCACCGACAGCCCCAATATCTGACCTCGCATGCGGTCCCCATCCCACCCAATATAACGTTTCGTGGCCCCATAGGGAACCCCACCGAAGGTCCCAATGGCGGAAAGCGTATGCGTTTCCCCACCCAGTATAGCGTTTCGTGGCCCCATAGGGTGCTCCACCGAAGGTCCCAATGGCGGAACTCGCATGCGTTTCCCTTACAAAGTATAGCGCTCCGTGGCCCCATAGGAAGCTTTACCGAAGGTCCCAGTGGCAGAATTCGCATGCGGTTCCCCCATTCAGTACAGCGGTCGTGCCCCCGTAGGGAGCTCCGCCGAAGGCCCCAGTTGCGGAGCTTGCGTGCGGTTGCCCCACCCATCAGGAGCTCCACCGAAGGTCGCAGAGGCGGAGCTCGCATGCGTCTCCCCCATCCAGTACAACGCTTCGTGGCCCCATAAGGGGGCTCCACCGAAGGTCCCAGTGGCGGAACTCGCATGCGGTTCCCCCACACATTACAGCGTTTCGTGGCCACATAGGGAGCTCCACCGAAGGTCCGAGTGGTGATACACGCATGCGATTCTTCCACCAAGTACAGCCCATCGTGCCCCCATAGGGAGCTCCACCGAAGGCCCCACCGGATGCACTCTCATGCGTCTCCCCCACCCAGTACAACGCTTCGTGGCCCCATAGGGAGCCCATCGAAGGCCCCAGTGGCGGAACTTGCATGCGTTTCCCCACCCAGTACAACGGTTCGTGGCCGCACAGGATGCTTCACCGAAGGTCCCAGTGGCTACGCTCGCATGCGTTTCCCCCGCCCAGTGCAGCGCTTCGTGGCCCCATAGGAAGCTCCACGGGACGTTTCATGGCCGCCCTCATGGGGAGCTCCACCGAAGGCCCCAGTGGCAAAATTCGCATGCGTCTCCCCCACCCAGTACAGCGTTTCGTGGCCTATAGGGGGCTCAACCGAAGGCCCCAGTGGCAAAGTTTGCATGCGTCTCCCCCACCCAGCACAGTGTTTCGTGGCCCATAAGGAGCTCCACTGAAGACGATACCCACAACGGCGGTACTCACAACTGCATATGGTTGGGTCCTTCGCCAGGCTAACTGTTGGTCGGACTGTCTTGGAAGGTTCTCGAAGGTTTTCCGAGACAAGTTTGGCGTTTCTTGGAGGCTCTTTGCGGCTCTCGCAGGGAGCTCCCGAAGGTTTTCGGATACGTTCTGAAGCTGGCCCTGTCTGCCGCATGCCGCTTGGCACTGGAGACGGCTCGTCGATCTTTGCTCGATCGAATCTCCCTCCCCGACCGAATCGAGGATCCAGATATTTAACACGCCTGGCCCTTCTCAGGGCCTCTAAAGGCGCACTCGTCGCCACGTCTGGATCCACCCCAAGAGTATTCTCAGAACATACATCCTTGGATGAAGGGGCTCTGGGACACACACACATAAATACACACAAATAAAAAGGATTCCCCGTATTTTCCTATATTTTCTTGGCCTTTGTCTTCCCCCACACTTCCCATATTTTCTAATATTTTCGGGGGAATCGACGATTAATTGTGTCTGTGTGGTTTTTCCCCTCCTGATTGGACTCGGTACCCGGAGGCCCGCTTCCAGCCCATGGGACGCTCAGAAAACGGCTCGGGACGAAAAGCCGGCCCTCGGGAAGGAGTCGAGAGGTCTGGGGGTCCGCGTCTCGAGCGGCCAAATGCCGTGGTGGGGTCCACAGTCGGGCGTTGGCAGAACTGGGTTTCGTGGGACCTGGTTTAGTGATGTGTGCTGGGGGACGCCCCCCCGCTCCGTTCCACTAACCGGAACTGCCGTCACCCGAAAAAAACACGAGCTATGGCAGACCTGGTTTAGTGATTCTGGCCAATTCAGGGGCTCTGGGGCCCTACCACTAACCGGGTCCCCTTACCTGGGGTCCTGGCTATACCCGACACAGATCCGAGCGGAGCACTCGCTGCCACGTCTTGTGGTGGGCACCGGGGATGCTGGAAACACTCCAGCTCTTGTGTGAACTACAGCAAACTCTGTATGGTAGACGATGGATTTTTGTGTGCCAGTGGTTGCGCCGTGGGTTGCGCCCACACGCCGTAGGGACCCATGGTGACCCGGGGATGTCTGGGTGCCAGAGGTTGCGCCCCAGGTCGTGCTGTAGGATAGGTCGCTTTGCACTGGTTTCCATCGCGTCCATTTGCACTGCTATCCATTGCTTTGTACTCCTTCGCGCTGCTGTGGATTTACTTGCATTGTTTTGCAATGCTTTGCTTTTCGTCGCTTTGCGTTACATTACTTTGCAATGCTTCTTACTTGGCGTTGTTCTATATTGCGCCACGTACACTTAACAAACTCACTTTTTGAAGGGGTCCACACTGAAACCACTTCGAAGATCAGACGGCGCCAACGTACGCATTAACGCTAATGTGCGTTTGCCAACAGAAGCCCTTCGATATGGGGAGCGCGGCGCGATGAGTGCCGCCGAATGCTCCACAATTGCCGGCAGGGCATTGCGAGATAAGCTGGTATTCGTACATTTGGCCAATTTGGATACTCTATTTGCCACAGGTCTTCGATTTTGAACTTGTTTTTGTTGACGGGGGCCTGGGCTAACTACCACCTGCGGCGAAGATCTTGAACTGCCCGTGGTGTTTGTTCGCGACGTCCAGAGGTCCTGGCTGGCGAGGTCGGGTGCGTTCTCGAACAGCTGATGCGCATCAAGGGCGGACTGGTGCGCCGACGTCAGGTCAAGGTGTCATGCTCTCTGAGAGCGTGCCAGAACGCTCTAAAGCAAATAGGCTTTGTGCCATGCCTGCGTGAGAGAGGGAGGGAGTCACTGAGAATATAGTTATCGTCATCGACCCACTCCACCGAAAACGACGAAACGACTCCGCCGCTATTTGTTTGGAGGTGCCGCTGAGATCTCTGAAAGGCATCAAAAAAACCTTCCGAAACCATTCGAAGCCATCCATAATTATCCGAATCTCAGCTGCTCCGATACGCAATACGCAACACGTAGCGTACTGATACAGAGCTCAACACGTGGACTGAAAACGTAGGCCTGACGCAATACGTTCGCCAACACGTGGTCCAATACGTTGGGCCAACACGCAAGGTATTGACACGGACGTCTGGAGCACGCTACGTATTGCGTATCAAAACGGGCGTATCGAGGCAGCTAAGTTCCGAACATCTTCGAAGACCCGGACATCGTCGTTCGATGGCGTGGCTGCTGGCAGGGTGCTGCTGGAAGCGGCCACGACATCAAGGACGAGGACGACAAGGACGAAGGCGACAAGGACGAGGACGACGACGTCGTCCTCCTCGTCCTCGTCATGCTCGCCGCCGCCGCCGTCGCCGTCGCCGTCAACGTCGCCGTCGCAGTCGCTGTTTCCATCGCCGTCGCTGCCGTCGCCGTCGAGGTCGCGGTCGCCGTCGCCGCCGCAGCCGTCGCCGCCACCACCGTCGCCGCCGCCACCGTCACCGTCACCGTCGCCATCGGCGTCGCAGTCGCCTTTGTAGTCGTCGTCGTCGTCCTCCTCCTCCTCCTCCTCGTCGTCGTCGTCGTCGTCGTCGCCGTCGTGGTCGTGGTCGCCGTCGTCGTTGTGGTCGTGGTCGCCGTCGTCGTCGTGGTCGTGGTCGTGGTCGTGGTCGTGGTCGTGGTCGTGGTCTTGGTCGTGGTCTTGGTCGTGGTCGTCGTCGGCGTCGTCGTCGGCGTCGTCGTCGGCGTCGTCCTCGTCGTCCTCGTCGCCCTCGCCGCCGTCGCCGCTGCCGACGTCGTGGCCGCCGCTGTTGAAGTCGTCGGCGGGGGCGCGGACGCCATCGGGGCGGCCGCCGACAGGCGTGGCGGGGATACTCCGGCCCGAAGAAGAGGTGCGTCGCGCTCCCGTCCGCGGCGGCCTCGGCGAGCCGCCGAAGGGGCGGCTCCGGATCCTCTCGCGGGGCGGCGAGGGCTCTCGGCGGCGAGCCCCGGGGGAAGCGAGAAGGAGCAGGCCTTCTCAGAAGGCGGCGGGGCTTCTGAGACGCCCTCGCGCCTTCCGAGGAGGCTTAGGGCACTTCTCACGAGGCCCGAGGGCTTCCGAGCCTTCCGGGGAGGCCCGCAGCTTCTCCCTTCCCCCGTGGGCTCGCCGCCGAGATCCGACCACGGCCTCCCTGTTGCCCGTTGGCCTTGGGGCGGTCTTCGCCGCGGAAGCTGGGATGGCTGGCGTCCAACAAGGGGTCCAATGACCGAGCACCTGAGGACTCGAGGGCCCAGTGACCGCCAGGCGCCCCGACATCTCGCGCCTGGATGGTGCGTGCAATGCTGCCTTGCGTGTCTGGCCCTCCTGGCCGGGGCGAGGAAGCAGGGGAGGCCCTCCTGGTGGTATGGTCCCCCCTCCCCGCTCGAGGCGTCCCCCACACCCAGCTCGGGGAGGCTCGTGGACTGGGACGCACAGAGACATACTGATGCTATATGTCCTCCTCGGAGGCGCGCGTCCGACCCGAAGATATAGTATACCCATCTTGTAGTATATCGTTTCCCGAGCGGTGTGGTCAGACAGCGACCGCCACGACGCTTATACTGTGAGATTTCTCGGTGCGCGCGTCGCCCCTGGGGGGGCGACGCACATGTAGTATAAGTATGTTGGGGTGACGCCGATGGAGCCCCTCACCAGAGGTGGCACCCCTGGTATCGGTGGTGGCGGTGCCGCCTTTCGCTCCTCCCAGCCAGAGGGGCCGAGGGACCTCCCGGCGCCTCGGAACATCGCGTGTGGACACTACGCGTGTGGACAATAAATACCTGCAGCTTCCTCGTCGCCACGGCGGGATGCCCTTCGGAATTCCAGGCCAGAGCGCATCCCGGGAGGGGCCAGAAGCTCGACGGTGAGGAGGAGGACCCAGGCCGGCAGTCGCCTCGAGGACTGGCACCCGCTGTTGTGACCACTCTTCGGCACCCGAGAAGTGCATTTGGGCTTGGGGACCGCTAATGTTTCAAGACCTTGACGTTTGGAGGTCTTCACAACCTTGATTTGAGCAAACAAATTGTTTGTGGACATTATATCAACATTTGAAACCACCTCTACACGAGGATATTGTCGACACGTGAGAGAGAACTACCCGAGGATGAAACAGCGGGCCTGGGGAAGGGGTCGACAGTGAGGGAAGTACAGTCGGGGCCTTGACCTAAGGAACCCTAAATAAGGAACTAGGCCCCTAGTTTCCATAAGTCAAACTTCGATTTCCGGTCGAAAACATAAGGAAAGCCTGAGGCAAGCTGTGAAACACTTAAGGAACGCGGAACCCCTCCCCAACGAAAAGGGTTCCTTGTTAAGGGCCCCGACTGTATTTGGGCTTGGGGACCGTGAGGGAGAACTACCCGAGGATGAAGCAGCGGCCCTGGGGAAGGGGTCGAGAGCGAGAGAAGTACATAGGGAGGGGCCGAGGATGAAGGCAGGAGGGAAGGAGAGGGACGGGTAGGGCTGTGACGACTATGATCTTCTGTCGGCCTCCTGGAGGGCGCTTGGCGCTGAAGCGAGAGCCATGCTTTGGAAGCGATTCGCTCTCCATCCTTGTTCCTCGTGGAATTTTCGAGCTTCAAAGCATGTTGATGAAACATGTGCCAACACGCCCAGCTCGCCCTACCAATACACCTGGTGGTGCGACGAGGAGCTATTCGTGAGGAAGAGGGGGAAGGGGCGTAGGAGAAGGGACGTGGGACTTCCCAAGAGGGTCTCAAGCGAGCCCCCAGACAGCCTCGACAGGCCATGACAGGGCCCCAACAGTCATTGCAAAACCTTCCCCTCCCTCTTCTGTCTCTCCATCCTCGTCTCCTCCCTTTCCTCCTCATCCCCCCTCTCCTCCACGTTCCCTTCGACGTCGTCGTCGTCGCCCGCCTCCTCCTCCTCCTCCTGGTCTTTTCTGTCTAACTTCTCTGCTCCTGTGCGTACCGCCTGCGAGGGCTAACAGGAATCACACATACAAGAAGGGGCGCCCGATACGGTGTCAACCTCATGAGCCACAGCTGCAGTGGGAGTCGCGCGTCGTGCCGCGGGTTCGTCGGCACTAGGAGTTCTGGCACATAACCATGTCTTTCTGCCGAATGGGAGCTCGACCAAGTTGTGCTTCCAACGAAAGTTTGTGACACATGCTTGTGTCAGGGGGTACCCGACAGGGCCAACTCTTTCCCGCCAAGGGGAAGATATGCCACATTTCATTCATTAGGTTCTTCCGCCATGCGAAGCGCGCGGGAACATGCATGTTACAATCGCGACCGAAGACAGTGGGCATCCGATAGGATGCAAGACCCTTCCGAGGGCAACATAGTGCAGCAAAGCGAGAGGGCGTGAAAGGGGATAAAGAGGACGTGAGGGTACCCTTTGCCTTGCAAGGTCGTTCTGCGCATCGGACATTTCCAGGCGACGATAACGGAGCCACGGAGCTAAGCTCATGCATCGTGCAATCGGCCACGTGGAACATACAACCGGCTCATCAACCGTGCATTTTGGACCCCAGACCCGCACGGAAAGGGGGGAGCCTTGAGAGGGGCAGGACTGAGAGAAGCGCTGCTTCCAGAAGCAGACGACGGACAGAACATGCCCACAAGGACCCCCCCTTCTCGAGCCCCCCGCACAGCGGGGTCGCGGGCGCCCGCCAATGCGACGTAGAGTGAAGGCAGCCGGAAAAAAGGAGGGGTCTGGCTCGGGGGGGAGGAGAAGGAGGAAGAGGAGGAGGAGGAGGAGGAGGAGGAGGAGGAGGAGGAGGAGGAGGACGGAGAGGAGGTGGAGGAGGAGGCAGAGGGGGAGGAGGAGAACGAGGGAAAGGAGGAGGAGGAGGAGGAGGAGGAGGAGGAGGAGGAGGAGGAGGAGGAGGAGGAGGAGGAGGAGGAGGGAGGAGAGGGAGGGAGGAGGAGGAGGAGGAGGAGGAGGAGGAGGAGGAGGAGGAGGAGAAGGAGGAGGAGGAGGGAGGAGGAGGAGGAGAGGAGACATCGGCCTGGAATCGACAACACACCGACAACCAATCGGCGATGGGCCCCCGGTGGCAAAACCAAGCATCCTTGGGCAGGGAGAGGCACCCGAGCCGTGCTCGCCGACGAAGCAGCGCTTTTGAGGGCCGCTGCTCCCCCCCCCCGAGACCACTGCGGCGATCCTCGGGCGAGGTGCCGAACACCCCCACCAGCTGCAGCACCAGCTCGCTCCTGCGGGGTAAGCGGGGCCGAGGGCTCGTGCTGACGCCAGCGCACTCCCTACTCTCCCCCGTCCGCACAGTATGTGCACCTCTCTCCTTTTTTCCCGACCGCGCCCCGAGTGGCTGACCGGCGCCTCCGCCTCGCTGGATGATCCCTCCATCGTGGTCGCGTGTGTGTGTGTGTGTGTGTGTGTGTGTGTGTTCTGGTCCTGTTTCTGCTCCGTCCTTCATAGTGAGCGCTTCCTGGCTCTGCCCCGACTGCCTCGTGCACCTGTGGGATGCCCGCCCCAGTCAGGTCAGGGCCATACTTGAGCGGGACGGCGCACGCGTGTTCCCCCGGACCGCTCCCAGGAAGGAGAAGAAGCCGCCCCTGGCCGCGCCACTGCCTGCCTCCCTGGCGCGTCCCTCCGGCCGTGTCCGCCCGCCACCCTGGGACAATGACCAGCAACCGCCACCGAGCGCACCCAATTTTGGACGCCCGAAATGGGTACGGAAAAAAATGGGTGCAATGCCCAACAACAAATGTTGTTCCAAACCAGCAGCGGCCGCTGTTGGGCAGGCGGCCTTCTGTCTCAAACGGACACAGCCGCGGCGGCGCGGACAGCGAGTCCTGCTCAAAATGCGCAGGAACTGCTGGTGGGCCTTGTGCCCATTCTTTCCGTACCCATTTCGTTCGTGCCGACCAATGACCTGAAGGACCCGTTCGGTCTCCCTGAGATCCGATGTCGTGATTTTTTCAATGCGGGGCCCCAGGAAGTCTCGACCCGTTCCCCAGGACCAGTTCTTCATCCTGAGTCGTTTTTGACGGTCCCGAGGCCCGGCGAGGGCCCCTACAGGGGCCGACGACTGCGAAAAACCTCCGCCTTGATTTTTGTCAATGCGTTGGGATGTCTGGGCTCCTCCCCCATCACACTGGCAGCCACAGATCCCGGAGCGCGGGCCCCTAACCTTCCAGAGAGCTATTTTTTAGCACGGGAGGCCTAAAAACCTAAAAAACTAAACGAAACAGCCTAAAACCAAGACGTAGAATAGCTCTGGGATAGGGTTTTGAGCCGCGTGCTATTACTTTGGCCCTCCTGGAGGGTCAAGGGCCCTCGGACTGCGAGCTCCCCTCGAGGCTCCTCGCCCCCCCGCCGCCCGGCACGACGCCCGCGGCGGCAGCCCGCGCGGCGACGGCGCCCGCAGAACCACCGCCCCGGCCCGCCGCCGGCCCCCAGGCGGCTCGGGGAGCCCAGGCCGGACGGAAGGGGCCCTGGGGCACACAAGTAAGCACACACACAAAAGTAACAGGATCCCCCATATGTTTTTTCGATATTTGCTTCTGGGTTTTTTGTCTCTCCCCCCCCCCCACTAGCAAAAAGCAAGGGGAATCGCCATGTGTCTCGGCTGGCCCTCCTCCGGGATGTGCGGTATACACTGCCGCGAGCGCCGCCTCGCCAACCGCAGTGTATCATACCACCCCGCGGGCCCCGCCGCCCTACTTGGCTTCGCTGCGCCCCCGCTCTGTCGCCCCCCCTCCCCCCCTCGCGCGGGCCGCGTGCCACCACTCCTGGTCGGCCCCCGGGGCCTCGGATGCTCGGATGAGTACTGTTGTTCTCTCGCTCTCTGTCTCTCTCTCTCTCTCTTTGTCTCTCTCTGTCTCTCTCTCTCTCTTAGTATGTGTCTGTCTGTCTGACTGCTTGCCTGTCTGTCTTGTCTGTCTGTCTGCTGCCTCTCCCTCTCCCTCTCCCGGTCTCTCTACTCTCGTTCTCGCTCTCTCTGCTCTCCACCAGAGGAAACCGCTCGGCACGTCGTAACGGCAGGCGTTCACCCTCTGGGTGCCCCCGAGGGCGCGCCTGCCAGAGACAAGGCTCCCCTCCACATCAACTGGGCATGGCAACGTCTGCGCCTCCAGCTCGCTGGCACGCTGCGCGACGTGGACGATGGACCGGTATCGCGGCCCGTGTCTCGTCCTCCAGTCGTCTGCCGCGTCTCGTTGACAGACGAGTGTTCTTCTCGTCTTGAATAGTTCTGCGCGTGCGGGTCGCCGAAAACGGAAGATCTCACACAACCCCATCCGCGTGATGGAGGTTGAAAGATTCAGCAGCGTACTCCTGTGGACATGCGAGGTCGACCCGACGCTCCGATCGCACCTGTGGCCATCTGTTTCTCGCGAGGCGTGTTGAGAAAACAAGGGAACATCAACCGCTGGGGAGGGTGACCGCGGGCCAGGAGGCCGTGCACAGGGTCAGCCTCGCCAACCGCCAGTCTTCCTCGGCCTGCTCGGCCCTCCGTGCCTCTCGCCATCGCTCAGACGTCCATTCCTCGTGTATTTTTAGATTTTGTGCGTGTTTTTTTCGCTCGATGGTCCAGGATGCTCCTCGATGGTCCTCGCCGAGAAAAAAATGCACACGTCCGAGCGATGCCAAGGCCTCCAGCTCGCTCGAAACGAGCCCTGAGAGCAAGCTGCCCCCCGACGCCAAGGCGGTGGGCGCAAAACGGGGAACATTGGACGGGAGATCGACGGGAAAAAAACACACAAAAAACAAACAACACACAAACAAACAAAACAAACACCCAAACAACACACAAAACAACAAAAAAACACAACGCACAACAACAACAAAAGCACACACACACAAATGAACCCGCAAATGCGGCAAAGCGTCAGGCGGGAACGCAGCTTCCACCCGTGCCAGGATTCGGCCAGGGCGACGGCGGGAGCGCCGTTCCGGCGGACGGCCGAGAACGTTCCGACTGGAGCGAAGGATCTCGAGCACTACTTCGGGACGATCCAGTGGCTCTCTTTGCCCCTCAGCAGTTCAAATCATGTCTAAAACATGCGAAACAACGCAACGCAGCACAAGCCATTGCTTCTCGTTGCCTGGCATTGCTCGGGACGTGTTTTGCGCTGCGGAGGATCGTTGTGCGGCGCTGCTTGGCATTGCTTGGCGTTGCTTGGCATTGGCTTTGCGTTGCTTGGAGTCGTTGCTTGACATAGCTTGGAATCGTCGCTTGGCATAGCTCTGCATTTCTTGGCATTGCCTGGCATTTCCTGGGCCGCCCCCGGCAACCTCGAGGGAGGCCCCTGACGAGGGGCGTCGCACCGACCGGGTTCTTTCACAGACAGGTAAGACAACCCTTAGGCAACGCCTGCTTGGGGAAAGAGGCGGGCGCATAAAAAAAGCATCCCCAGCGGAGGCATGCGAGTGGTGCTCATGCTGTGTAACTGCCCAGGAGGAGGAAGAGGACGCGGACGAAGAGGAGAGGGAGGGAGAGGAGGAGCGTGTCCGATTGTCTTTCCTTCTTCCTTTACCTCTTGGCTTCCCTGCCTTCCACTTGGCGCAGGCCCGGAGGAGGGTCCTCGAGGGCATCAGAGCATCGCTCGACACTGCCAGCGGCTCGAAGCACGAAGGAGGAGGAGGAATGGGGAGGGTTGTCAGAGTGAGGGGGCCGACAGGTCATTCACTGTCCCTGGGCGCGTGGCTGAAGTGAGGTTATGCGGTGAGGAATGTTGTTGTTGATGATGTTGTTGTTGTTGCTGTTGTTACTTTTGTTGTTGTTGCTGTTGTTCTGTTTGTTGTCGTCGTTTCCCCGCGACCCGGCCAACGAGCCACCCGTGACCCACTCGTGACCCGCCTGCGACCCACCCGCGACCCACCCGCGACCCGCCCCGCGACCCAACCGCGACCCACCCGCGACCCACTCCGCGACCCACCCCGCGACTCATCCACACTGCTTTAACGAAAAAATCGGCGCCTGCGGCGGGCTCGCTGCATAATTAATTTGTAGACGTTAGGCACCTGCGGCGGGCTTCTCCAAAGTCTGGCAGACTGCCAACGTCCTCTCCGCCCCCTCACTCTTATCCGCAATTGCAGGGTGCTACGTGCGTGTTCATATAATTTAACTGTTGGTGGGGAGGAAGAGGAGGGGGAGGAGGAGGAGGAGGAGGAGGAGGAGGAGGAGGAGGAGGAGGAGGAGGAGGAGGAGAAATCGACGCAGCATGCAGCGAGCCGATCCATCCGGAGAGAAGCTGGCGGACTAACTTTACGGGAGGAAGGGCCTCGCTACGAACAAGCATTCGACCGCGGGAAAAGAGGAGGAGGAGGAGGAGCAGGAGGAGAAGGAGGAGGAGGAGCAGGAGCAGGAGGAGCAGGAGGAGGAGGAGGAGGAGGAGGAGGAGGAGGAGGAGGAGGAGGAGGAGGAGGAGACTGCAGGAGGAGGAAGAGGCGGAGGAGGCGGAGGAGGAGGAGGAGGAGGAGGAGGAGGAGGAGGAGGAGGAGGAGGAGCAGAGGCAAGAGGAGGAGCAGACGAGGAAGCGCGATGGCAGACCTGCGCACCGCCCTCCCCAGGGACCCTGCCTGCCGAGCTGCCTTTGGGCCCTAGCTCGCCTCTCCGGCGGCCGCTCGGGACGACGGTGGACACTCCTGGAACGCCCCCGGCGAGGGGCGCGGCTGCTGGACAGCACCCCGGAGGCTCGAAGACCGCCGAGGACCGAGCAGATCGCTCGAAGGCATCGGAAACCTTGAGCCTGGAAGCCCAGACCCCCCCGCTGGCCATCGCTCGGACGTCCATTCCCTGTGTTTTTTTCGGTTTCGCGCGTAGTTTTTCCGCCAAGTGATCAAGAATGCTCCTCGATGGTCCTCGCCGAGGAAAAAGCGCACACGTCCGAGCGATGCCAAGCCCGCCTCCGCACCTCCGCGAGGCCCTCCCCGGGCGTCCTGCGCGCGCGCGCGCCCTGCCGGAAACGCTGCGCTTCCGAAGCCAGAGCTGACTCCGGAAGCAGGCGGATCTGCTACGTGAGCGCGCGTTTTCCCGAAGTTCGCCCCGGCTTCCGGAACACACGTTTCCAGCGGAGATGGGACACACGTCGTTCATTGCTAATCATGCATTGTGCTAGTTTCTGATTCTTCCTGGCCCCCCTGGTGGCCAGGAAGCGGCCCAGGACAGAAGGATCAGAAACGAAAGGACCTTGACCCCCCCCCCAAACCAATGAACTTCCGAAGACTTCGAGTTGCACAGTGTGCACCCCTTGCCGCTCGAGCGGGACGATCGCCTCAGGTTCGTGGACGTGGACCTCCAGCCGAGCGTCGACGGCACTGTCGGGTGCCGCCCCTCGGCGGACCACCTCGGGGGAGGGGGCATGGGCTTCGCCTTTGAGGGCTTCGCACCCTCTGAGGGCTTCGTGGGCCCTCCCCGGGCGTCCTGCGCGCGCACTCCACGCACCTCTCCAGGTCCGCGGGCGGGGAGCAGGCAGCTGCGGGGCGGGGTGCGGCGGCCGGGCCGCCCGCCGCGTCGCGAGGCCCGTCGGCGTCGTCGGCGTCGTCGGCGGATCCCTCCTCGATCCTCCTCCTCCGCCTGCTCCTCGATCCTCCTCCCCCTCCTCGATCCTCCTCCCCCCCCTTTTCCGCCTCCTTCTCCTCCGCCTCGAGTCCCATCCTCCTCCTCCTCCTCTTCCTCCTCCTCCTCCTCGAGTCCCCTCCTCGATCCCTTTTCCTCCGCCCCCATCGGTGCTCTCCTCTGCAACCAAGCCTGGGCAAACTTCTGTTCTCAGTTCGTAACGCTGGAGGGGAGAACGTGCTCAAGAAACTGGGCTCACTTTCGGGCAAGTTGGTTAAGGTACGTTGGCCCAACTTTTCGGGACGAAGTTTCTTAATTAAATGCTCGACCGTAGTCCCTGCTATTTTTTAGGTGTTCTGAAAACACCATGAACCCCCAGCCTACACACGCTTCAAGCAAGGCTGGGCCTGGATTTCGCCGCCTCACACTGGGGCGAGATGAATTGTATCACCAATTATGTGCTGACTTTTTGGCAACGTCTTGAGCACATGCTGGGCGCGGCCTGGTCGTCCAGTCCCGTGCACGCGGAGGAGGGTGTGTGGGTGGGTGGGCGGGGGGTAGAATCTGGGACAAACTCCTGCAAGCTGCCTCAGAAACGCTGAGTCGAAAGAAGCTTGGATATTTTCCGACCCTCTCCGACCTCTCGACTTTTTGGAATCTCTGGCCCCTGCAACTCTCGACTCTCGACCCTTCCCAACCCCCGCTTCGCGTTGGCTGGCCTCATCTTTTGTTTCACCAATGCTGCATTCCTACCCCTCTCACGTCAACTCGCCTAGGAGTCAGTTCTGGATGGGCTGGTGGGGAAACGCGCAGCTTTCATCAATGGAGTGATGTTTGAAAAGGGTGCAGGGCGGAGGGGGTGGGAAAAGGCAGGAATGATGAGGACACATGATGACGGCGGGGAAGGGATGATGTGGAGGGAGGATGAGCCATCTGAGGAGGAGGAGGAGGAGGAGCAGACGATGAGGCGGATGAGGAACACGAAGAGGAAGGAGAAACATGTGAAGGACATCGATGAGGAGGAATGTGCATGTCATGTAAAAGGGGAAAGGGAGAGGAGTGTGAGACACACGACAAGGAAGGAGGGATGACCAGGAAGCCGAGGTGGAGGATGAGGAGGATTAAAGGCAGAACGGAGGATGCGGAGGAAGATGAGGAGGAGGGATGAGCAGTTGGAGGTAGGTAAGGAACGTCTATGCTGGGTACTTGTGGAGACGACACGGAGGACCATGAGGGAAGAAGTAGAGGTGGGAACAGGAACATGACCGGGGTATGGTGGGGAGGAGGGGGAGAGACGTGACCAGATCACGGGGCGGGGAGGAGGACGACGACGAGGGGGGAAGGAAGGAAAACCAGGGGCCTACTACGCGGGTGCAGGTCCCTCCTTCGGAGAGCCCGATGACCGGGGGGTGACTTGCGGTTGTTGGCCAGATGGGCGTTGGTCTGACTCAGGCGACGCTACTGGCCGCAAATGCAGCCGACGTGCGGATAGGAGGAGACACCGACCCACCGAGAGTAGGCCTGTTCCTGCAATGAGATGCTGGGTGCCCCGTCTCATGCGCAGTCCTCTCACCTTGTCCTTCTTGTGATCTGCATGGTGAACCTATGCAGTGCGCACCTCAACACATATGTGTGAGGCTGCGCTGAAGGAGCCACGGCTGCTGGGATAAAGCGTCGCTCCTCTGGACCTCCCAGACATTCACAAAACCTGGCGGCTGTCGCAGGGTTGGCAACGTCCAGAGGAGGGGAGGGCTAGTGGCCTGCATCCGTTCAACACCGCCGCACTCTGCTGCACCTCCCGGGAGCCCTCCGAAGTGCCGGCGCACACGCACTTGGCAGCGGCACAGGAGGGGGAGCAATGCTTTAGAGCTGAGAAGGATCGCGCTCCGACGGACCTCCCAAGCGCTCCAGAACGTTGCCGACATGTGCGCTTTGGCAGCGCCCAATGGCGGGGAGTAAGACTTTGGATCCGCGCAGGGCCGCAGTCCGCTTGACCTTCCAGGGGCTCCCAAACGTGCCAACAGTGAGCTCCCAGGAAAGAGAGTGATGGCCTGCATCCGCGTAGGACCGCGCTCTGCTGGACCTCCCAGGAGCTCCCGACGTGCCGACTTACGCGCAATTCGCAGCGCCTAGAGAGGGGAGAAAAAGTTTGAATCTGCGTAAGAACGCATTCCGATGGCCCTCCCAAGAGCTCCCGAAAGCGCTGACAGTTGTGCAAATAGCAGCGTCTAGGGAGGGGAATAATACTTAGGGTCCGCGTGGGACCGCACTCCGCAAGACCTCCACGGAACTCGAGACATGCCCACCGTTGCGCAATTGACAGCTCCCGGGGAGGGGGCTATCAGCTCGGATCCGCGCGGGGCCGCAGTCCTCTGGGCCTTCCGGGCGCTCCCGAAACAGCTGACGATTGCACAGTTGGCAGCGCCCAAGGAGCGGAAGCGAGGAGGAGGGAAGGAGGATAGAATAGAGTAGCGAGGGAAGGATAATATAACATAATAGATAGAGAGGGAGGAGCGAGGAGGATGGGGGGAGGAGGAGGAGGAGGAGGAGGAGGAGGAGGAGGAGGAGGAGGAGGAGGAGGAGGAGGAGGCTGGGGGCCCCCGGGCGGAAAGTACCCCGGCAAGGTCCCGAGAGAGTCCCGGGAGAAGTCACCAGGGCGCTCCAGCAGCGCACCAACGCGGCTCCGAGACGTCCCCGAGAGCCCCAAGAAGGGCCAAGAGGCTTCCAAGAGGCCTCCAAGATGCTACATGAGGGGTCCGAGATGCCACAAGATCGCTCCAAGACGCCCACGATGGCCCCCAGACGCCCCAAGAGGCCTCCAAGAGCACTCCCGAGAGGGCCCCAAGAGGCAAAATTCACTGCTTTTCCTTAGGTTTTGGAGAGATTTTGGCGTTTCCACCTTTTCGGCTTCACGATACCCCAAGACGGCCCAAGAGGCCCCCAAGACCGCCCCAAGAGGGCCCAAGAGGCCCCCAAGAGGGCCCCAAGACGGCCCAAGAGGGCTCCAAGACGGCCCAAGAGGCCTCCAAGACGGCCCCAAGAACGCCCCAAGAGGGACCCCAGGGGGGGAACACGAACCAATATTTCGAGCCCTCGGCCCTCAGAAGTCCCCAGGAGGCTCCAAGAGGCCCCTAAGAGGCCCCAAGAGGCCCCCAACAGGCCCTCAGGAGGCCCCCAAGAGGCCCCCAAGCGGCCCCAGGAGGCCACCCAAATGCCCCCCCGAGCACGCAAGCAAGTGCCAGCGACGCTACACTATGGGCCGGCGGAATGAGCGAAGCGATTCAATATAACAGAATAGCGCAACGGGGCTCCGATGCAATCGAACTCGACTGGCGACGAAGCCCTGCGCGCTGCGCTGGCAGCTCGTGGCACCATTGATGGTGCGGAAAGGCCGTCGGGAGCCACCCGCGCCGCCTCCACCGGGCGGCCCCTCGCTTGGGCGCGCAGCCCGAGGGGTGCCCAGCTGAGAGGACCAACGAAGAGGAGGAAGAGGAGGAGGAGGAGGAGGATGAATAGGAGGAGGATGAAAAGGAGGAGGAGGAGGAAACGGAGGAGGAGGAGGAGGAGGAGGAGGATGAGGAGGAGGAGTAGGAGGAGGAGGAGGAGGATGAGGATGAGACGGAGGAGGAGGAAACGGAGGAGGAGGAGGAGGAGGAGGAGGAGGAGGAGGAGGAGGAGGAGGAGGAGAAGGGAGCCTAGAGAGGCTGGAAGAGGCGAGGACCGACAAACATAGGAGGGTTGAGAATCCCACCAGCCCTCTGTGCACAGGTGGTTTAGGGCGTTTCCTCTTCCATCTTCCATTTTACCTCTCCCCCCTTTGGGGAGGGGTTTACCCCTCTGCCCGAACCGCGCCTGGGTCTGGATGGGGGGGGCGCAAGCGGTCAGAGCGTCCTACATGGTCCAATATGGCCCCAGGCGGGCCTCAGAGAGGCCAAGCTTCTTTCAAATGCTGAATTCGATATCCGAAGATGGCGCACGATGGCTTCCGATATGGATCAACACCGCTCCAAGAAGCCCAAAACCATCCAACACCTGAAGCTTCGTGCTGAAAATCTTTTGCCTTCTCGCCGTTTCGCTTCCGATCGGCTTCCGAGGCCACGGCTCCAAGATGACCCAAGAGAGCCCCAAGAGGGCTCCAAGACGGCCCCAAGCGTGCCCAAGAGCGCCCCACGAGCACCCCAAGAGGGCCCCAAGAGGCGATCTCTTAGGGGCCACGCCCGCTGAGCATGGGCAGGACCTGCTGTCGGTCTTCGTCCCTGGACTTGCCGTGCCCACTTCGATCGCACCGATCCCAGGGGCGCTGGCACCTGCTGGCAGCCCTGCGCCCTCCCACTGCTCGAGCAGGAGGTCGCCTGCGGAATGGACTTCCGCCGAACCTGCGAAAAATACATAGACTGCTCCGCATCTGCGACAGTCTACGAACAACATGTTGGGGTCTTTTTTTCGAGCCCCAGAGACACTCCGAGCAGCAGCGAGGAACACGCGCCCGCGAGAGCTCGTTGCACCCAACAAGGAGGAGGAGGAGGAGGAGGAGGAGGAGGAGGAGGATGAGGAGGAGGAGGAGGAGGAGGAGGAGGAGGAGGAGGAGGGCCGCCGGCAAGCAGGTAATTAGTTGATCTCCGACTCGAGCTGCCAGCAACTTTCCTCGAGACAGGGCGCCAGGCAACACTGGCGCGTCCGGGAGGCCCCCAGGCCGCCCGCCGTGGCGGCCGGCATGCCGAAGATGCTGCTGGCCCCCCCCCTCTCCTGCTGCACGGCGATGCTGAAAGGGGCCCTGGGACACACAAACAAATAAATACACACAAATCACAGGACTCCCCAGATTTTTCCATATATCTTCTGGGTTTCTGTCTCCCCCCCCCCACTTCCCATCTTTTCCCATGTTTTCTGGAGGCCCTGGGACACACAAGCAAATGCACACACACAAATCACAGGATGCCCCATATTTTCCTATACATTTTCTGGGTTTTTCTGTCTTCCCCCCCACTTCCCAGATTTTCCCCTATCTTCTGGGGAGTCGACGATTCATTGTGTCTGTGTGTTTGTTCCCCTCCTGAGATGCGGCGGGGAGAGCGCGGCCGCAGGATGCCGCGAGCAAACTCGCCTCAGGGCAGGGGGCCCGCGCCCTGCCTGGCCCCTGACGCCGCGCGCATCCGCTCCATCGGGAGCGGCCCTGCCCGGCCCAAGCTGCCCGCCGCCCTCCATCCTGAGAGCTCGAGAGGCGCTGCGCTCCTCCTCCTCCTCCTCCTCCTGCTCCTCCTCCTCCTCCTGCTCCTCCTCCTGCTCCTCCACCTGCTCCTCCACCTGCTCCTCCTCCTGCTGCTGCTCCTCCTCCTCCTCCTCCTCCTCCTCCTGCGCCGGCGTCACGGCCGCGTCGCCGCGGCGAAGACCTGCCGACCTGGAGGGTGTGCAGTACTGATATGCAGCTGCTCCCCAGGCCTCTCCCAGAGCGCGCGGTGATGACGAGGATCTCGAGGCGCATCGCCGCCGTGGCGACGAGGGACGCGCAGCGGCATCGCTGCCTCTCATCCCCCAGGCCTGCGACGTCCTGATCTTTTCCAGGCGCGGCCCCTGGAAGTCTTGACCCTTTCCCCCGGGCCGTCTTCGGGGGCGGAAAAGAGGGGGGTGATGACTAGGGGGGGGGGATATCATGGCGTGGGCCATGATACTTCCCCAGATTTCATGGCGCCTCTTCTTATTTCATTACGTTCCTGCCCCCCCCGCTGGGCCGCGCACATGCCGCCGTTCATGATTTGCACCCCCCCTCTTGGACACCCCTCTCTTGGCCGCTCCCGACGTCTTTTCGTCCCGAATTTCTGTTGACGGCCCCGAGGCCTGGCGAGGTCCCCGAGGGGCCGAACGCGGCCCAAAACCTCCCGTCTGACTCTTGTGAGTGACGACGCGAGCGTGCCAGCGGGATGCCCAGCACAGAGCGCGGCGGCGCCGGCGGCGGGCGCGCCTAGCAGCAGCGCGCCCCCCCCGCCCAACAGCGCGTCCGCGGTGGCGGCACGGCGCAGCGCCCCGGCCAGGCGGAGCCCGCGGGCGGGGGGCCGGGGAGAGGCGCCGCCGTGGCCGCCTGCGGGCGATGCGTCGGCGTCGGCGTCGGCGGCGGCGGCGGCGTCGTCGTCGTCGTCGTCGGCGTCGGCGACGGCGTCGGCGTTGGCGTCGGCGTCGGCGTCGGCGTCCGCGTCGGCGTCGGCGTCGGCGTCGTCGGCGTCGGCGTCGGCGTCGGCGTCGGCGTCGTGGCACCCGAGCGGGGACGGCGCTGGCGACGGCGGCGGCGACAGCGGCGATGGTCCCAGATATCTCCGACGACTTTTTGTTTTGTTTGCTTGTTCCGTCTGGTTTGTGTTCCTCAATTTCGGCCCCTGGAGGCCGTGATCGGGCCCAGGGGCCATCGGAAGGTATCTGGAACGAAAAACTACCCCCCTGGGAAGGGGTCGGGAGTTTTGGAGCCGCGGATTGAAAAAATAAGGTTGGCGGATGTCAGGGGTGGCGGCGGCGACGACGGAGGCCACGACGACGGCAAAGACGACGGTGAGACGACCGGGGCCGTTCGTTCGCCGCGGGCCGCTTCTTGTGGGGCCGCGGGCCCTAGAATGGCGCGTGGGCACCGGGTGTGCAAAAAACACGAGCCGACCACTGTTATTCGTTCAGACCGCCGAACCCCCTTGCACCGTCGCGGCCACTGGATCGCAACGGCTGCAAAGATGGTGGCAGCGGCCGTGCATAACTTACTCCTCCTACTCCTACCGCTCCCCCCGCCTTATCCTCCTCCACTCCTCCTCCTCCTCCTCCTCCTCCTCCTCCTCCTCCTCCTCCTCCTCCTTGTTTCAACTCGCCCTGTCGCTACTCCTTCTTTCTCCCGCCGCTGCTCCTCCTCCAGTCGCGGCCCCAACCTCGAACACGAGCCCACACTTTGAATACCAACCCGAACACCAGGAAAGCCCTAACTTCTTCGTCCGCTTCCTTCCTTCTCCAATTCTTCCCTAGACGATCGACCAAAATACCAAGTCGATGACCCGCCCGAAGTCTAGTGTGAGGGAGCAGAAAGGGTGAAACCAAACCAACCTCCTCCTCCTCCTCCTCCTCCTCCTCCTCCTTCTCCTCCGCCTTCTTCTCTCCCGAGACAATCATAACACTTCACAAACCTCCAGAAACATCCGAACACATATGGACAAGTGTCGGGAACCGCCGGAAACGGTTGAAACACTTCAGACACCTTTTCCTGATCGTCCTTCTTCCCCTACCCTCCTCCCTCTTCCTCTCGCTCCCCCCAACATCCGGCGCCGTGAGCAAACCACAGCGTCGTGAAACACACGGCAAGAACCCTCGACCCCAGGATCATGGAACATCTTTCAAGCCCGATCGGTCCGTGCGGTCCCTGGGGCCCGAAGAGTGGCGAACATGCTTGCCCTGCTTTTTCGCGGCTGATCGATGCCAAGGTTCCTCTTTCACATTGCAGCTCCACGCAGTACAAGAAGCGGCGGTATCAGACAAGTGATGTGTGCTGGGTGCCTATTTTGCAGGCTCGCTCCGCAAGCTTTGCGCGACCACGTCGCCTCTTCAGACTGGCCCGAGCAAAAAAAGAGGCCCTCTTCGCTGGGCCTCCCAGGAGCGGGCGACACCTGCGCGGCAGGCGCCCCCCCCCCAGGAGCCGCGACGTCTCGGCTGTGAATTTCCGCTCCTTGTCAGGGCGAGAATGCTGTCATGATAGGATTTGGCTCCGGATGCGTTCCAGGATTTCCCGAGCATCCAGCGGCCCTCGTTTTTGCCGCCCGCTCGGAGCATCAGCAAACATGGGGAGCCCCTGACATCCTGGAGCGTATGATTATCAGGACCTCTTGCTCCTTTGGCCAATGCCGCTCCCATCCGCTGCTGCTGTGGGCGTTGAGATTCTCAGCCGCGTCGGTGTCCGACGGTCTTGGCGGCGGGTCTCGGTCGGGTTTGTCCTGGCTTCCCCTCCCTCCTCCTCCCCCCAGAGTCGCGACCTCTCGGGCCTCCCTGGCGCCCCTCATTTCGGGCGGGGGGGACTTACCCAAAAGGGGGTCCAGCTGCAAGGGGGTGTTGCAATGGATTTTGGGCAATTGTATTGCAAACGTATTGCGCTGGAGAATTGTATTGCATTGCATTGCAACCAATGTATTGCACGCGAAAATCCAGCAATACATTTGCGCCCCGGAATGTACTGCACGCCCCAAATACATTGCAACCCCACAAATCTATTGCACCAAATCTATTGCACCACCCCCTTGTCGCTGGACCCCCTTTTGGGTCAACCCGAGACTTGATGTGATTCATGGGCCTCGCGCTCAGGCAGTGGTGCCGTCCTCGCTCAGTGCGTGTGTGTGTGTGTGTGTGTGTGTGTGTGTGCGTGTGTGTGTGCGTGTGTGTGTGTGCCTCGCGCACCGGGGGCGTCCGCCCCTGGACAGGGCGCGGGCCCTCGGCCCCCTGCCTTCTTCCCTGAACCCGCCCCCTCGGGAGCTGTGGCGTCCGAGGCCCCCCCCCCCCCGGTGGGGCTCCAGATTCCTCGGCGCGGCCCCGCTGGCCCAGGGCCACCTCCGCTTTGGTGCGCCGAGGGGTCGCCCCGCAGCCCGCCCGCCGCGTCCTGGCTCCCTTTCCAGCTTGTTTTTGGCATCGCAGACATCAGCGCGTTTCGGCGCTGGCCCTGTAGCTTGCGAGCGTGCCGTTCGCATCGTGAGGCAGGTGGGAAGAGACCACGAAGCAGATCCGCAACCCCAGTCGAAAGGGGTGAAGGCCGATGCACTACGCAGCCCTTCCCAAGAACTGTGCACGTGTTCCTCTGCTTGCATGGCTGGCTTCCGCCGGCGGCACTCGTTCGCCCGGCCCGGCCTGGGGGCTGGCCCTACCGCCCGGTCTGTGCCTTTCTTCCACACAGCGTGGCGGAGGCACCCCACCCCTGGTGCGGCTTACGCCTGCGCCCCGTCTGACCGGCGCAGGTGCTGGGGCTGGCGCCAGCTTTCCACTGCCGTGCCCAGTTTTGCACCACCGCCTTCTCTCTGCCCGCATGCCGGGGGCCCCGTCGCAGTGGGGCTTCCACTTGTGCTGGCTCTCGCGTCCACCTGGCGGGCCTCCTGTGGCGCCGTCGGCCTCGTTGTCGCCGCTGGCGGGGCACAGCCCGTCGGCTCCACGGGGAGCGCTGCGGCACGCCGCTCTCTCCTCGTGCACCCGCCCCGCCCTGGCCTTCGGGAGGATACAGCCTCTGGGTGCCCGGGCCTCTGCAGTGCGGTCCGGCCAACCCTGCACTGGCAGGGCCCCTGTAACCGCCTCGCCTCGGCCCTTGGCCAGGTGTGCACCAAAATCCCCATGGGATCAAGGTGCCTGCGCGGGGCCACCCGGCCTCGGGTCTCTGGGGCCGTTCTCGCATGTCGGCTCCCAGTCACACCCGCTGCCGCCTGGTTTTGGGCCGCCCCATCGGATGGACGCGTGCCTTTCTGCCGGCGCGGCTGGATTTCGCTGGCGGCGCTCGAACGCCTGACCCGGCCAGAGGGCTGACCCTACCTCTTGGTGAGCCACCTGGCCTCCACCTCCCTCCGGATCCCGTAGGGCAGCCCGGCCACACCTCACTGGTGCGGCCCACGTCTGTGTTCCGTCTGGCCAGCGCAGGTGCTGGAGCTGGCCCTGGCCCACTTGTATAGAGGGCAGAAAACCCACCCCGACAGTGACCACCCCGACACGCGAGGCCGTTTGGCAGACGCACCCAGAGCAGGAATCAAACAGGGCAGGGCTGCTTAGTAAACGCCCAGGGCCGTTTAGCAAACGCTAACTGTCCGGTTCGGGTGGTCTTTCCTCCCTTACCCAGACCCCCGACGTCGTGAGAAACTCACGACGTCGGCCCCCCGAAGTCTGGAGACCTTCCCTGGGACCGGTTTTTCATACCGAGTTGTTTTTTGACGCTCCCGAGGCCCGGCGAGGGCCTCCAGAGGCCGAAAATTGTCTAAAACCTTCGTCGTGAGTTTCTCGCGACGTCGGAGGTCTGGGTAATTGTAGGGGTGTGTGTGGCGCCCTCGAGGCACGCCCGCTGTGCTCCTCGCGAGAGACGAGGAGTTGTCCGACTCGGGCGCGCACGCCGTGCTGCCGTCGCCGACCCCGCGGGCGCGGGCGCCGACGCCCCTCGCCGGCCGCGGTCGTGCACCAAGTCCGGCGCCGTCGTCGGCCTGGGCTGTCATCCGTCGCCTCGGCTGCCACGCCCTCCCTGGCCTGGGCGTGCTCGGGTGTGGCTCGCTCTGCTTCGGCCTCTTACAACTCGGGCTACGCCAAGACGTTTTTTTTTTTTTTGTTATTTTGTTGTTTTTTTTATTGTTTTTCTCCAGGGGGTACAGCTCGTCGCTGCGCCACTCTTTACCTCTGGCGCCTTTTTGCCGCGCCGCGCCCCCAGCCGGGTTGCGGGCGCCCACCGGCCGCTCTTCTTCACAATTGTTTGCGTGTCTCTCTCTCTTTCCCCCCTCTCTCTCTCTCTCTCTCTCTACCGGCGTTGCACTGCATTGCATGGTTGCTTCGGCCTCTTCCGCGTGCATCCGCTTCTGCGTTTTTTTCTGCACGTGACTGCTCCCATGCAGTCCGCCCATCCTGCCATCGCTCGGACGTCCATTCCCTGTGTTTTTTTCCGGTTTCGTGCGTGTTTTTTTCGCCAAATGGTCAAGGATGCTCCTCGATGGTCCTCGCCGAGGGAAAAATGCACACGTCCGAGCGATGCCAAGCCATCTGCCATGCCAAGTGGCAATTCGCCCAAGCGTGACCCGGCTCAGCACGTCGCGAGGGTGCCGTCGCATCGCCGCCGCTAGAGGAACAAATGTGCGTGTCCCTTCCGCCGGCCTCCCGGGAACCTGCTAAACGGGCGGCGGTTGCGCAGTTGGCAACCCCCCCGGGAGACGCGAGGTCTCGACTGAATGTACGGCAAGGGCAAGGGCTGGGGTAAGCAACTTGCCTCTTCCCTGTATAGTTAGCCACATGGTGGACGTGTTCCCCCCGGTTCGCTGGGCCTCCCATGGGCCCACGAACGTGGCGACACTTGTGCAGCTGGCAGCCCCCCAGGGGAGCCGCGAAGCCTCGATCGGGTGTGATGAGGGAGGAAGGTCGGATCAAGCAGTGCTCCGTTCAAAGCGAGAATCCAAACCATGCGGGCTGGGAATAAGCTAAAGAAGCGACGTTACAAACCACCTTCATTCTCGATGCCCGAGGAGGAGGGGGAGGAGGAGGAGGAATAACAGGTAATCGACTGCCCATTCAGGGGAGGGGGGAGGGGGGCGGTCAGGAAGGGCGAAAGGGCGCGAGAGGCGAAGAGGAGGGGGAGGAGGAGGAGGAGGAGGAGGAGGAGGAGGAGGAGGAGGATGAGGAGGATGAGGAGGAGGAGGCGGAGGAGGTGGCCGCGAGTGCGAGCGATCTCTGGGGTTGTTCCTCGCCTCGGGTGGCGCCCAAGGACCGCAGCCACGACAGCGCCTCGTCCAGCGCACGGGCGTCGCTGCAGTCCACGCCCTCGGATGGGGGGGGCGCATGGGCGGTCCTCCTCGGAGGGGGTCGAGAAGAGGGAGCGCGGGAGCACGGGAGGATGGCGGAAGGAGGCGGGGTGGAGGGAGGGAGCATGGGAGGAGGGAGGGATACTGGGATGAGGACATGGTGTGGGGGGTGAGGGTGGAGGGGGGAGGGCGGGGGGGGGGACGGTCCTCCTCGTCGAGGAGGGAGGAAGGGAATAAATGATGAGGAGGATAAGTGAGCAAGGGGGAAGAGGAAGAGGATGAGGAGGGAGCAGGCATGAATGGGCGGGTGCCGATCTCAACGCATGAACTCGATCCCTGAACAGTCAAGAAACATAGCGAAAAAGGAAGATGAGGGGGGGAAGCCAGCTCGGCACCTGGTGCTTCAGCGCCAGGACGGGGTCGCTGGCTTCCTCCCCCCTCGGAGCCTAGAACAGCAAGTCGTTCCAGGCCTTCAAGTCCAACCTCGCAGCCTCCACTTGAGCATTCGAGGGGACCTCTAGAGGCTCAGGGAAAAGAAAGGCGCGCGGGGGGGGCTGTCCCCGCGGTGCCACTCGCTGGCGGTGCCTCTCAGCACGGATGCGTCGGGCGGCCCACTTGGGCGGACGAAAGGGGAAATGGGGGCAGGGGGGCGGAGGCGGAGCAGAGGGAGGAGGGGGAGAGGGCACCAAGGGCCAGGACGAGGCATGCTCCTCCCGGGAGCCGGGCAGGACATCTGCTACCCGCTGCTCCTGAGGATCGCCCTCACAGGGGGACTTCGGGAGGGGGCGGGGCGAATGCATCACCGTGGGGCTCGATATCCTCACCGTCCGAGGAGCCGAGCTGGCATTTCTCCGGCTCGACCTGTTTCTGCGTCGGAGTCCCTGAGGACGCTGCCATCCCCCCCCACAGACGCCCCCCCTCCTCCTCCCCCTCCTCAGAAGAAAAGGCTCAAAGCGCCGACATCGTTCAATTAGAGGCTCTCGGAGTCCCTGGAAGTCGCCAGAAGCCCTGGGAGGCCCGAGAGAGGCCGAACGCGCCCAGAACCTTCGATCCTCGAGCCTTGGGGAAGATGACGACGGCGACGTCGGTGACCAGAGGCCTCCTGGATGGGGTCGGAGCAGATGGCGTCGGAGGATCGCGCCGCATCGGCGATGCACCGGCGACGCCAGCGTGGAGAAAATCGGTCTCCGCATCGAACCGCATCGGCGATGCATCGGTGATGCTGCGCGATACTCCGACCCCATCTACTCCGACCCCATCTGGGAGGCATAGAGTGACGGCGTCTGCGACGATGATCCCTCCGCTCCTCCTCCTTCTCCTCCTCCCAGGAGGAGGCGTCGACAACAACGATGACAACACAAATCGCAGCGCCGCCAATGACGATGAGAACGACGACGACGGCGGCGACAGCGACGGAGACGATCCTACCGACGACGCTCACCGCAACGACGACGAGTGCCGCGGCCGGGGCTGACGAGCGCGGGGCCTGCAGCGATGTGGCCGGGAGGTTGTCCTCGCGCCGCGGGCGCGCCAGCCATCGCCGTCGCCGCAATCGTGGACGCAACCGCTGCCGTCGTCGTCCGTCATCGTCGTCGTCGTCGTCGTCGTCGTCGTCGCCGTCCGTCGTAAGGAGAAGGAGACTGACTGAAAGGAGTGTTCGGCCGACGCCGGGAAGGAATGGGCGCGGGAGAACCTGGATGACGTGCCTACGGGGTGGGCCTGGAGATAGACCATGCAGGCAGATGTTTGGAAGATGTTGAGAAGGAGGAGGAGGAGGAGGAGGAGGAGGAGGAGGAGGAGCAGCAGATGTTTAGAAGCCCCCTTCCCCGCAGGCCCCCCTCCCTGTGGTTAGACCATCCGGCTTGCCACGATGAGAGGCGCCACGTCTCGAGGACACTCGGGGGTCGAAGCCAACCCATTCGGCCCCGTTTAAGTCTCACCCAGCAGATGCAGATCAACTTCCAGAAGTCTCGGTGGATCAGCTCGTCGGGATTATTAGGATGCTCTCTCGCAAGACCCGTCAGACGATGGCTTCCGCCCGAGGCATTCTAGACTGCAAGAAACGAACCATTGTTTGGGTCACCAGTGAAATGCTCCGCTTGATTCGGAGAGCGGAACAGATGCCGAAACGTGGTGCTAACTTCATACACCACCCTCACCTCCAAACATAAACTTGATGACTGTGGGCCAGCCTTTCGGGGCATAGGATGCCTTCCAACCCGTATCGAAAACGGTTTGGATTGCAGCAACCACAGTGTAGGGACTGGGAGGCTAGACACTTAGACCCACCAGTGGTTCACCAAACTTGCAGATCCAGTCTTGAAGCGTTTTACCTCCAGTCGCTGCAGCGGGGTCCATATTCATATCCAGAGCTATTGTTTCGGGTTCGTCTTGATATGACCTGTTGCGAACATGTCAGTTGGGAATTGCTGTGGAAATGGGACCAACATTCTCGATTTTCTCTGACTCTACAAACTGCGTTTCTCAACCAATACGGACCCGAGAGATAAGTGAGTTTCTCTGGTCTGGCAGTCGAGCTCTAGTATCACTACCTGGGCATCGCGGTGGGGTGTTCATTTGCAACCTTCACCGTTCAGGTCTATGCTGTGCACCCGCTCAGAGTGTGGCGGATGCGGATGTGCATCGATGATCTTCAATGCCATCATAAGCAAGTAGCGGGTAGTCAACGAGCTGGCAGCAGCGGCCGTGGAGCTGGCCATGGATACAGCAATAGCTGGGGTGCCATGGTGATTGGCTTGTCCTGCCCCGAACTGACGGAGATGCTAAACAAAATCGTCGGGGAACAAAAACGCAGACAAGGCCCTCCCCTCCACATCCACCCTCGGGATGGTTTGAATTGTTCTGTTGGGCCAGCATGGCCAACACAGCCAACGTGTTAATAGAGCGCTTCTCCAAACACAAGTTCCAAGTTGCGGGCTCTAACGAGAGCAGGAACCCCCTGTTGAAAAAGCTCGATGCGTCGGGCATCTAGGCGTGAGGCTTTTATGGTGAAGAGGTCGGGGCGTATTTTGCCAGAGCTCAGCGCCGCCCAGACTCGGTGCATCACCCTAGTTGGTAGCTCCTGCAGGAGTTGTTCCAGGCGCATTTCCCAACCAGCCTTGGGTGATCCACTCTGGAAGCAGGGGCTGGGACCAGCTTTGCAGTGGGCCAGTCTCACATGGAAGTCAATGAGGAATGGGAGGTCCAACTATGTACACCCTCTTTCGGAACTGGGTCGTTTATGTCGTGCAGTCTAGTGTGGCAATCTTGCGAACCAATTTGCGTTTCCCATCGCCGTTCGAGGTCGAAACGGATCTGGGCATTCGGTGCGCTCTGGCCGATACTGCCCCCCTAAGATGATCCACCAGACAATGCATACATCATGGATCAGGCGAATGAGAGGTTTAGCTGCAGAGAAGGCAAGGTTCGATCGATCCGACCAACTCGACACCACGTCCGTGATCCAATCCTTGTTAGCTTGAGCAGACCGCTCCGCCAGGCATAGGAATGTGTTGCGTAGCTTGTGGTGTCATGGGTAATCTTGCATGTGCGATCGTGCTTGCGACGATCTGAGCTATCGTTTGTTCGCGCGTGCACTTGCAGGACGAGCTATCAATAGCTGAAGTGTTGGAAGCCCTCAAGCACCCACTTGTGATCATGACTCCGTATGTGGGTTTTCAAGGGTGCCCCGCTTTCAGACTGTGCCTCCAGGGGGCATCGGGAATGACAAGTACGATTTTTGGCCTGCTGATGGCTGTACTCCTGAAGTAGCGCCAAGGCGAGTTGCCAAACTACAAATACTCCAAGCGATGATCACAAGCAACATTGTGCATTCGCTCAGCTTAAGAACTCAAACATAAAGATATTGGACAGCTTTCGGGCGAGATGTGTTCGACACGTATTGCATATTCCTCCATCGTTCGTGTCATGCGTTTCCAATGAATACGTAATGGAACAAAACAAGCAAACGACATATACTTCCCAAATGTTATAACAACAACTCCTACTTGTTGGACACATGGGTCGGTGCTCCAATGACCACCCCTTGCGAAAATCAACTTTTCAAGCCAAAGGTGCCTGTCCAGTCACGTGGGGTTGCCAACGCAGAACAGGGAGGCCGGGAGGCCAAAATAAGAACGAACCTCAGAATTATATGCATGTGTCTGTCTTCTTGCTGCACAAGAAATGGAACTCTCATGGTTACATCGAGGGACCCAGTCAAATGGAGGAAGCTCGTAACCCAAGTCACGAGGAACGTCGCCTCAACAGAAGAAGACTACACCGGTGTACGTCTAATGTGCATTGCATGGTCTGTTTTCCTCCTCCGCCTCCTACCCTCGCCCTCCCAGCGCGCATTTGGCGCGTCGGAGCTGTCTCCTCAAGCGTTTGGCGATTTTTTCGCTCTTACGCGCATTTGGCGCGTTGCTCGTACGCTTGCCGAGTTGTACCTGTCTGCCCACGCGCGTTTGGCGTATGGCTGCTCCGTTCGTTCGACAGATCTGCGTGTAAGGACGGACACAAGTTATTTCACCAAAAGGGCTGGGCCTGGTGAATTTGTCTGAGCGTGGTAAGGTCATCGTTCGGATGCATGGTCGCGCCGGTATCCTTCTGACTCAGAGTTGGCAGCTGTAACATACGCCCAGGGTGTGTCAAACATCTCTTGTGTGCTGGCTTGCACATGCGAACCGTGGGACGTTCTGCCAACGGCATATCGTGCACCAATGTTCCTGCTCACATTAATCCATCGTCGTTCGGTAGAGGTCCGGGCGAATGGTTCAACGCTGCAGGAAACGATGAAGTCGATCGAATAGCCAAGATTGGAGCCAATTCACACTCGGAGCCTTCCAGTCGCGAACAGGATGCTCAGGCAAACATGGCTAAAGCTTCACAACTTATCTGAAACTCGTCGCTACGGCCCTTGAGGTTTTCCTTTTCCCGCCCAAACCCCGCAATAGGAGCAGAGGCCGAGCTCTACATCGGCGAGCGGGCCCCAGGAGGGAGGGCAGGTCTGTTTGCAGTTATCGCGACGAGATCTCGGGCCACTATCGACCAACTTCGGCTGGTGTTGTGCGACGGGGCGGGACCAATTCGGCTGGCGTTGGTCCTCCGCCCCCCCTTCCGCCTCCCTCTCTGCCGCAGCCGCTCCTGCCCCGCTTCACTTCCCATAGCCATCCTACGCCGAGCTCCTCCATCCCCCAAGTCCCTGAGGGCTTGCACTGGCCACAGTGGTATCGTTGGCGGTGTTGCTGCAAACTGGCGCTCTCATCGCATTTGTACTGCCTGCCATGGCGCCAACAGCTCAAACATAATATGTAGCACTTGCGGTAATCTAGTCCATGGCCGACGTGTCCAACACCTTCTTCGATATTGTGCGGTTGCATAGATAACCACACAGAAAACCAACTGGCATCGCATGTTTTGAGATGTTGTGCACTGACCCCGCCAAAAGCCAAGGCTAAGTTGCTAGATGAGCAGCTACCGCTCTGCAGTCTGTTTTAGTTGTCTCGAACCAACAAAAGTGCCATCTAAGCAAGTAAGTCGACGGTGCCTGACTCCACCCTCAATCTGGATTCGCACCAGCGTGGGCATGTGGTCGTCTTGTTTCTGGTGCTGGTCGTGACCGCTTGGATTCGTGCTGGTCGAACGAGTCCAGGCTCTTTCCCAGATGCTCTCATCGCTATAGCAGCTTTGGCGGCTCTCTACTTTAGCCTGGTATCGACCCAGCGCTGAAGCCAGGTCCATTCCTTCCCCCTCCTCCCTCCTCTCCGCCCTCCCTCGCCTGCCCCCCCTCGCTTGTGTGGCGAGTGGCGCAGGCGGCACGGGCCCCATCGAGGCGTTGCGCCACCCCCCCCGTGCCCTGCACGTGAGCACGACCCGTCGTCTATACCAGCGTTCAGCAGCAGCCTCCCCTCCCCCCTTCCCTCCTCCCCCCTCCCTGGTCCCTGGGCGGGCCCGTCCTCACCGCCCGTGGCGCCGGCGCCGCCGAGGGCCTGGCGCGCGCCGCGGCGGGCGGGTGTGTGGAGACTTCGAGAGCCGGCCCTCGGGCCGGCGGGGTCCCGCCCCGAAGGCTCGAGGAAGGAGGCGGCGGGAGGTGGGGCGGGGCGGGGCGGAGCGGGGCGGGGTGGAGGAGGAGGAGGAGGAGGAGGAGGAGGAGGAGGAGGAGGAGGAGGAGGAGGAGGAGGGAGGAGGAGGAGAGGAGGAGGAGGAGGAGGAGAGGAGGAGGAGGGGAGGAGGAGGAGGAGGAGACGAGCGTACCGAGGAGACTTCATCCCACCTACGTCAGCCCACCTGCCACAGCGGGCAGCAGGGCGGGGGCGGCAGGCACGGGGGCGCGGGGCGCGCCTGACCCGAGCACCGCGTACTCGGCGTCCAAGAGGGACGCAGCAGGGCGGGCGCCGCGGCCAGAGGGCCGAGGGCGCGGCGGCCACGGAGCCGCGCGACGGGACGGGGAAGCGGGAGGGGAACAAGCATCAGCAGCAGCAGCATTCAAGAGGAGCGAAGGACCGAGAGAGGGAGGAGGAGACAAAATGACATGAACAGGCGCGTGAGGGGACCAGGCCAAGGGGGGAGCAGAGGAAGAGAGGGGGGCGGTCGAAAAGATACTGCGACGGGCAGGCCTGCGAACGTGAGGAGAGGAACACTGATCGACGGGAAAGAGAAAAGCAGGCGCCATGGAAAGGGTTTTTTCCAGGCGAGGGCTCAGAGCGGGAAGGAGTCCACGACGCGGACCGCGGAGAGGGAGGAGATAGCCTCAGAGAACTCGGAGCTGCCGAAGACGCACGACCCGTGGCAACACAAGAGGATGGAGCCGCCATTCGAGAAGCACACGAGGTAATCGGCGTCGACGGGATGGTCATCAGGGTACGCGGGGAGCGTGAAGAAGTCCCAGGCAAGGTCATCGAAGGACAGGGCGGGCGCGGAGAGGACAGGGCAATAGGAGTCGTCGACAGCAGGTATCCCCGAAGAGAGCGCCCCACCGCTGCCGAAACCACGGGGCTGGGGGTCAGAAGCTCGCAATTTACTCGAGCCTGAGGCGGTGGGCTCGAGGAGCACCCACGCCCAGGACTTAGCGATCTGACGCCGCCAGGGAGGTGAGGCAACTCCCCGCAATTTACTCGAAGAGCCTGGAAGGACGGGCTCGAGGGGCACCCGCCACCAGGACTTTGCGATCTGACGCCACAATCACCAGGAACGACTCGAGACCGAGCCCCCACCTCGCAATGTACTCCAGATGCCTGAGCAGATGGGCTCGAGGAGCACCCACTGCCAGGACTTGGCGTTCTGACATCAAGCGACAGCGCTGCACCCAAGCCATCAGAGGGCGTCGCACTGAAATTGCATGGTGTTGGGCAGTCATCCTCAGCGAGGTCCTCAAGTCGGCCGACGCGTTCGGGCGTCGCAATGAGCGTAGCCGGCGTAGAAGGGGCCTCTGGGCGGAGGTCCAGCCAGACTAAGTCGTCCGAGTCGTCCTCTCCCGCCTGAGACCGCGTCCGAGGCGAAGGGGTCGAAGGCGAGAGAACAGGCGCCTGGCAAGGACTGTCAAGATGGCCAGAGTCGTGCAGGGTGCGTCTCGAGGAACATGGAGACGACGAAGCGCTGGGAGCCGATGTCGCTGAAAACGCCGCAAGCGAGTGTGCTGGCGAACTGCAGGAGGGCGAGGATGAGGAGGCCGACGACGCCGTTGAACTTGAGGAAGAGCTCGCCAGACGAGGCGCACGGGGAAGCCAGCGGGGTGCGAGCGAGGCCCGCTCCTCCTCCGAGGCGCGGGACGGCTGCGCCAGGCGCATCGCCCTCACACCCGCCAAGGCGCAGGCGTGAGTCTGCTGGGCGGAGAGCGGCCATTCACGAATGGTGCGGGCTTCATTGTACATGTTGTAAGCTGCCGTGAGCACGGAGAAAGAGGACAGCGATGGGGGGGCCAGGCCCCGCCGAGACATCCAGTCGAGGGGGAAGGGACGAGCCAGAGCACGTCTGAGAGCACGATGCACAGGCGGACAGCGCGCATAGTGTCGTAGCGAGTCGATTCGTTGCACACAACCGAACGCACACTGTCTCTGGCCCAGCGGGGAAATGATCCGCGCCGACGTCATCCATCCGTCACCCCATGTGCGCAGCGCGGCCCATGCCCAGGAGTACGGGCAGCGTGCGAGCACCACAGCGCAGTTGTCCCAGACGATGGAGTCGAAGCGATCCCTCGCACGCCCCGCAAACTTCATCAATCGCCGACGGAAGAGTACCTGAAGTGGCTGGGTCGAGCACGCTAGCTGGCGCAGAGCAAGATGAGCAGCACGCTGCGGGCGGGATCGTTGGCCAGGGGCGGGGGAAAGAGCAGCGCGGGCAGCCGGAAGCGCGGCAGCCAGAAGTGCGGAACGCCCCGAGCCCTCAGGGGCGCGGCCGAGAGCCGCGGCCTCCAAATTCTCGGCCAGCGCCGTGGACTTCCAGAAACCAGGATACAAGCGTCCGTGCGGCAGCATGTCGAGCGTCACGTCGGCGTCCCTCGAGGCGACGAGCTCGCGCATGCGGGGCAATATGGCTTCCCAGCACGGGTGCGTGAGCAAGGCGGCACGAGTGATGGATGCCACAGCCAGGTGCGCCCAACGGATGATCCTAGGTGCCCCCCACTTCTCCAGCTGCACCCGCACGTCGAGGCCGAAGGTGCCGAGCGGGAGGCGAAATACCTGTGCCAGAACTGCAAGTTCAGGTTGAAGGACCGCGCGTGGGATCCAGGAAAACTGTGCGACGTAAGACAGAGTAGTGACAGCACGTGAATTGTGCAGCTGGGCGGACTGACTGGCTGGGGTGGTGCCACGGCCAATAGCTTGAACCCGCAAGCGCAGCTTGATGAGCGGGTCGGTCCACGAACGGTCGGGGGCGGCCCCAGGACCCAGCCAGATGCCCAGGTAGAGCAGACAGTCGACCACTTCGAAGGAGGACCACTCGGGGACCCAGTAGGAGATCTCCTGGAGGACGCGGGTGGCAAGCTCAGGGGAGAAGGGCCCGCTGAGAGGGACCACCTTGCACTTGCTAACCTTCAAGACGAGGTTGGCCATGTGAGAGGCCTTGGACATCGCCCCGAAGACTCGAACGAGGTCGGCGATCGAGGAGAGCGTGCCACCGATGTCGTCGGCGCAGGCCCGCGCGAGGCCAATCGAGGGGATCTCAACCAGATGGACCAACTCAGAAAGGAAAGCCGCTGTACTGAACGCAAATAGAGAGCCCGAGAGGGCGCAACCTTGAATAATGCCGCTATCAATCCAGTAGACATGCCCAAGAGCCCCCTGCACCACAGCCACCCCGTCGATAGCGGCGTACAGGAATGCGACGAAGGCGAGGAAACGATCAGGGAGCCCGAGGGTCCGAAGTGCGAGGGTCATGAAACCTTGGTTCAGGGACGGGAAGGCCTGGCCGAAGTCCAGGGAGTACAGGAGCGGGATGTCCAGGGACCCATGGGGGGTGACCGAAAGCATCCTGGCCGAGGCGTCGAGCTCGATGATGTTATCATCGAAGCTGCGGCGCGGGATGAAGCCGCGCTGGCAAGAGGGGATAAGGTCCAGAGCGGGGCGCACGGCACGATTCATCGTCGCCGAGATGAGTTTGATGTCACAGCTCCTGAGACCAAGGGCGCGAACTTTATCTGGGGCCCGCTCGCAGTCCCCTGAGTGCAACTCACCGTCAGTGACATTATTCGGCAGGAAGATCTGAATGGTGTCCGAGGCAGAGGCGAACAGGAACTGGCCATCTCCGAGCCACTCGAGAGCATCCCAGAGAACCTCTTCCATTAAGGGGTGAGCCTGCCACGCAGCATATGGGAGAGCGTCGGGGCCAGGGGCAGAGTGTTGGGCGCCACGAATAGCAGCACGAAGCATGGCACGGGACGGCGGGGGGAGATGAAGATCATCAGCACGAGGCAGGAGCCTATGGAGGTAAGGGCGAGCGGCATCTTCATCCCACGGCTTCTTCCTGAATATGGGACCCCAATAGTCGGTGAGGGCCCTCAACCGCTGGGGCGGGTCGGAAACAGCTTCTCCGTTCGCGAGACGGACACATGAGAGGGATGCCCGACGATTCAACGGCGACCACAATCTCGCCCTGCGCTCCAGGGCTCTGATCTGAAGCCAAATCTGAGCACGGTCTCCCTGACGACGACGGCGAGCTTCCAATTCCTCTTTGGCGGCAGACGCAGCAGCGGACTGGACCTCTTCGACCCAGGCCTGGAAGGAGGGGGGGTGGATAAGCTCAACCTTGCCAGCCCGCACACTGATCATGTCACCAGCAAGGGGGTGAGATTCCTGAAGCCGGCGCGCAAGCGGAGCGTCTTGCCGCCAGACAACTCGTGCAAGTGCTCGTGCAAGCTGGAGAAGAGTGTTGGGATGATGGGGCCGTGCACGGAAGAGACGATCCCGAACTTCAGCAGAGGCGATTTCCAACAGCTTTTTGTAGTGCTCGAGCTTGACGGGAGGGGACATCTGGGACCAGTCGGAGGCTGTAATGACGCCCTCGAGGCGCTGCTTGAACGCTGGCTCGTGAAAGATGTGCTTGGGAATGGCGCGCTCGTCCTGAACCCTGGGAGCCCTGGAAGCGAACGAGATCAGCACGGCGGCATGGTCCGAGACGCACCTGTCCGACACCAACGCAGCCGAATCGACAGTCGACGCCTGGGCCACCAGCTGACTCATCTGCCATCCCGAGAGCGAGCAAAAGAATCGATCGATAGACGATTCAGCAGTCCCAGCACGCTCGTAGCGCGAGGGGGCATCACTTTCAATCTCGAGCAGCGGGGCAAGAGCAGCCCGCCACTGCGGAGCGCGGGCGTGGTGCTGCCGAGCGCTCCGCCGCACCGCCGCTGCAGGCATATGCAGCAGGACGGCCTCATGTGAGGAACAAGTTGAAGTCGCCATTGACCGCGACCATGTGCGCGTCTGGTGCGCGCTCAGCTGCGGCGCGAGCAGCGCGGATGTCCCGCGCGACTCGATCAACTTCTGCCAAAGAA